ATACAGTCCACCACGCTAGCTTTAAACTGTGTAAATAGCGGAAGATATGAGGCAATACGCAGTGCGAATAGCTTAGTATGCCACTTGCAACCCCGCGCCGATAGTAATGTACCTAGGTAGATAGCATAATACCAATGAAGCGGCTACCTAAGATTCTACCGAACCTTGTCAAGTAAAGGCTTGGCGTGGTACTCCAATGTTGCATTTCACAGTGCCATTTATTAAATTCAGGGGCAGTCCGAGCTCTAGGTGTTCATCTTTTTTCTTCTCTTTTTTTTTTCGTGCATAATATCGGGTTATCGAGATTCGAAACAGATAAAATTGAATTTTAAGCTTCTTTTTTTTTGGAATGACATATCCATGCAGCTATGTACCTAACATAAGACCTTGGAAGCACCCATCCATCGTATCGAGAACCTTAGTCAAATCTCTTCCCATTAGGTATTTCGTACATGTAAAGATCGTACATTGATGTAAAGAACGTACCTACACGCATACTACATACCTACATACATACATAACCTACCTAGGTATATGTACTTCTGCATGCGTTCACCGGGCCGGACTTGCCTTATGTAATCTGTACTTCACACCAATGCAGGCCATCACATGCGATAATACAGTACGTGTACCCCTAGGAAAGTCCCCGGTATGTACCTAAATGAGAACTTTATGCGTAGATGTTTGCCGTAACCAGCCAACCACCAACCTTGACCTAAGTGGGACATTTCAAGGTTCAAAGCTAATGAATCGCTCAAATGAGAACAAGTCGACCAATCCCCTTTCCGAATGCATCTCATCGTTTTCCTATCGTCAAATCGTCAATCCCCGAACTTCCAAGCCCCGGACCACATTATTTGCTTCTGCAAGTCTGCAAGTCTGCCACGCTACGGCCACGACGGCTCTTTAACACTTCTAATCTAATCCCAGCCACTACCGTTCCGCGTCCTCTTTTTTTTCCCTCGTCATCGTCACCTGCTTGTCTCCCTTAGGAGTCTGCATTCCCATGAAAGTAATTGCCCCATTCGATCGAAACCAGGGCGCGTGCGTGAAAGGGATCGAGTGTATCGAGTGTACGTGTACGTGTAGAAGTTGGAAGTCGAGTCGAGTCGAGTATTGGTAACCATACAGTTGCCTTACAACTTGATAGGGTTAACGATAAAGGGGAAAGAGACGGATTGCGCATTTGTCTAGGTCGTTCGGTCCGTCGTGGACGACTTCTAGGGGCTTGGTTAGGATACAACGAATCAATAGGTATTGGAGTGACCTCTGATTCTACCTCGTTTTCGTGGTCAACTCCTCTCGTCACTCTTTTCTAAAGCTACTATTCTCGCGATCCTCGTTAGATCCAAACCCGACAGCCGCTGGCGACTGCTGTTTTAACGCGTCCACTACGATTAACTCATCTATTATCATCGACATCATCGTCGCCATCACCGCTTAAAATCACAACCGCATTCGCGCTTTTCGAATTTTTTCCATCGCTACGACGTACGCCCGAATAGAAAATTATATCGTTAATCCACGCTCGGCTCTTCGATTTCCTATATTCGGTATACTTTGTCACACTGGATTTGGTCGGCAGCGACTCAAGTTCCACGAATCCGCCATTATACTGGCTGTCCTTAATTTATATTTGAAATGTCGGCGGTTTCGGGCACCACTACTCTTACTCCTCCAACCAGTTTGGACGCAAATCATTCTGGATGGAATCACGCATCTTCCGGCTATCATGATGTAAGTCCCCATCTTCTTAGCCCAGTACAAAAATTATCTGATGTGTTCATGGACTCCCAATTTGTTACTGATTGATCAATCTAAACTAACACGATGTTTGCTTTCTCTTACAGGGTTCTACGTCGCATAAGCTATCTACGGATAGGCATGATACCAACGGTTCTATGAGAGGCCCTTCCTACATTGCGAATGGGGACGCTAGCTACGATCCCTATGCAACAGACGATTATCTATCCAGTAAAGGTTAGTCGGTTCTTCATTCCAGGAGTCTGGCCAATTTATATGTCCATATCTTGGTTAGGCATGAAGTAAGTAGGACAAGTTTACTAATAAAACACACATATCTATACAGGTCAAAACACATCGACATCTGTTCATAAGCGACCAAATGCCGATATTACACCTTCAGAACCTGATGACGAACACTCAAAATGGATTCATAGGGATAAGTTGGCTAGGATAGAGAACCAGGAGCTTCAAGCCGCCGGGATTGTCTTACCCAAGCCAAGGGCTCACAGCAGACCAAGGCGAGATCGTAGCCCAGATAAAGCAAACGGACGCCGGCGGGGTACCGATGCATCGGAGCGTCCGGTTGCGAGATCTCGAAAAAATTCGGACTTGAGTCCAGAAAAACTTAACGATGTTGAGAATCCGGGTTGGGATTTGCGTCTCCCCGAGGAGATAGCAGAAGATCCCGGCGAGTATTGGGTAACAAGCGATACTAGCAAGTCGCGCATTCCAATAGCCAAGATAAGCCCGGCGCCAATTCCCGTCGACTTCCTAGAGCGAGATGCGCCAGCAATGCGCAAGCCAGGCTTCCCTATGCCTAACGAAGATCCTTCAATTTCATTACCGAAAGCCCGGTCACGTAGCGGTAGTTCTAATGCGCTGGATAGTGTCCCGAAAATCCAGCCTACGAAGCGTGCCGTTACAGAAGGATCACCTAAGAAAACAACATCCGCTGGAGCTAGGAAAGGCACCGCGCCGACTAAAACAGCCTCGCAAGGTCGACCTAAAACCCGATCAGGTCCGAATCTTCGTAGTGGTTCTAATACACGACCAACCACCCGATCCGGCGAGTTATCACCATCCGTGACAAAATCTGCGCCAGAGGGCGATCCACCGTGGATGATTTCCGCATATAAACCCGATCCTCGCTTGCCTCCAGACCAGCAGCTTCTTCCTACCGTCGCAAAGAGGTTACAACAGGAGAAATGGGAACAGGAAGGCAAATTCGGAAATATTTATGACAAGGAATTTCGCCCTCTTAATGACGAGGGCTTCTTAAGAGCTCCCGAAGTTGAGAAGCCGAAGGAGACAGAGGAGGGACAACAGGATGAATGGCCATTACGGCCTGGTGCTAAGAGTCCAAATACGAGCCGGCCCGGCACAAGCTCTTACTCGACGATGCCCAAGATTCAAGGCGCACCTGCCGCTAACACGCGTTCGGTTCAACAACCTCAAACCCAGACTGCTCAAAATCCTAGAGTACCAACAGAGGTGGAAGAACCCGAAGAAGAGAAACCAAACAAGTCTGGGTGTGGTTGCTGCGTTGTCATGTAACCAGCCCGGCATGGTTGATACAGGTATCCCTCCGGTTCTCCCCCGTCTCCAAGACCATCCGCGTGAGCAAACGATATAGATTAAACTTGAACGAAGTTACGACTTTTCGCACCTCGGCCATATCCAGCGTTGCTTTATTTTACCAACACCGCATATGCTAATCGCATTTTCCTTTGTCTTCGGATCACCGCCTTCCGCATCGAGATTTAATATTTCCTGCGTCTTCTCGTCGAGGTCGTACACTACTCTTGAGACGCCATCTCCGCGGAAAATGCAGACGAGTTACTCCTTTCACAATATTTTAATTATATTCTCTTTCGGTGCTTGCAAAAAAGAGGTTACCGGAGTTTGCTGGTTTGGACAGAACGTTCCGGAGTAAGTAGGGCGTGTAGATCGTTCATCCATCAAAGGAGCACAGGTTGCCTCAGTCCGGCATCCAACTTTGATCTTATTGCTGTATAATTGCCCTCTGCTTCATTTTACTATCGAATTTTGGTGCGTTGCTTCGGGGCAACGAGGGCCTTGCTGCTGTTTCGTTTCGAGTAGCGAAGACGCCCCGCGGATTTTGATTGGAGACAGACGGGCCCTGGGCCGACTTCTGAGTGCGCAAGGGCTCCTGTATAGCGACTAGAATAAGAAGAGACTAAGTGTTGAGTCGTGATGGTCAGCTAGGTGATTTCAGATACCCCTCCTGGCTGGCATTAGGGGTTGACCTAGAAACTCAACTGAATATAAAATTATATGTCCAGTTTGCAATATTTGATACTCTTGAGACATTTCAAATTGTTTGGACTTTCAGGCCTGGGATTCGTAGGTCCACGATTATGAGGTTTATAGATTTGTTCGTAGCTATTTGCGAGTATTATGTATAATTGCTGCCCTTCTCCCCCTTTTCCGTTATGGAGTATTTTGGTATAAGGGCATTTATATGATCTAGAGGGGACATCTATGGATTAATGATATGATACGTCAGATATATGCCTACCTACCTAGTTACTAAATACGAGAGAATAAGTAAGGTTATTTATAGTGTTATTTATAGTTTGATTATCGCTCCTATAGGTAAGCCTTGTTCGAATCTAAATGTAAGTCCGTTTTCCTATCTTCATGGGCGATATATTAGGATGGTATCTGGGCAGGCACAAACAGACAGGCCTTTGGGCTTGAGTCAATATTAGATCTTATATCATTATAGTAGGCTCTTCCTTGGGCAGAGTTCATAGATTTTGTTCCCGCTAAAACCCAACCGTTAACGTTTCCCCTTCTTATTGCAACTACCTAATGTAACCACCACAAGTATTTCTAGTGAATCATTCGTTGATAAATTTCATCCAGATACATACACAACGTACTAATACATACACCAAGATACCAATTTGTTCAAATAGCCTGTTGATGGCTTCGATGGTAAGCCGTGGCTCATGCGCCTCATGGAACTATCAGAACACCAAACGTACCTCCAGAAAAGGTTTCAGCTTTCGTTACCAATTAATGTATGGATGTCCCAGAAAACGAAATGTACTTGTGCTCACATTGCGGTCGCGAATCGGTTGAAGAACACACATATCACGTCTAGTTACTTGCTACTATATCTATACCCTACCTGGCTAAAAAATGAGAACATCGTAAATTTGATGTCACCTCGCCCCGCGAGTCGTTGTAGGACGGAATAAGGAAAGATATAGAGCAAGAGCAGCACCCGAAAGAAAACGACGGCGTTGAAACCAAGGTAGCGGATTATTCTCGCAACCAGCGTACTAGACGGGACAATAATAAATAGTTCTCGACGACGGGAGTATTGAATGTGGCAGTTCTATCTCTAAAAAGTCGTCCTAGGATTTTGACTTAAATGATCATTTGGCAGCGGGAATAGCGGCCTGAGCTCTACTGAGCGGTGTTTAAACTATGCTTTTGAGATATAAATAGGTAGTATGTGATTGATTTATGACCATCCCCTAAGTATGGTAAATTCCTTTTAAAATCTCGATCATCGAGAAAGCAGAGCTGAGAATACAAAAATTGATATTGCTACCTTGCCTCGCTATAAGAGCCTTTCCCTTATGATGAACGCGACTAGGACCATGTCTCATATAATTTTGCGTACGATAAGAATAGCGGATGTTTGAGGAGTTATGTTTCGCTCTGCATTAGAATTGAGAGCTGTGCAGTTACGCATGTGGCTTGCTAATGTTCGTGAGTAGACGGAGATTGGTGTTAAATCTTCATCGAAGGCCTAATTTCCTTGTTTTCCTGAAGAGGATTCTTGGTCAGATGTAGGTCTGTCTAGCAGCTTCTCTCCTATTTGTCGGTATGCCCTGTCCGCATACGCGAGTGCAATGCTATTGTCGTTCTTAGACTCTCCGGGTATTATGTCCAGGACCTCGCCGATGACAATAGCATGATGATCAAAGTCTCCGTTTACAGGAGGCGATAAGTGACGGTATTCACACTTTAACACGTGCATAACGCCTTGGCCCTGTAACACCGGCAGAGTGCCTGATGGCGGCAAGTCGATATCAGGGTTATTCATATTCATAGCTCCGGTGGCAGCGACTTTTTCTCTGTAGTCTTTAGCCTGCTCCCATTCTTGTTGCCATCTCTCCTGCCCTAACACCTGAACCCCGATCTTTTCTAAACCCGCTAGGACACCTAGGTCTGGCTGTCCTACGTTTCTAGTTGTCTCCTCGGCTACCGGAAGCCTATTACCTCGAGTGAATAAATCCGCGATCCTAACACCATGGTCATCGCTACTGAGTATATGAGCATTGAACCTCCCGCATTTCATAAGGGCTTGATAAGTTGTGCTCGGCAGAGAAACATTAAAGGTGACCCGCGGTACGGGATCGACAGATAAAGACGTGAATGACGATACAGTCATCGCTCTGGGGACTGGAGGTAGGACCTGATCATTGGACCAATCTCTGACCTCGGCTATACTATGCGCGTTCTCCAGAGTCGTAATAACGACTACGGGGTGTGGAATTTGGCGCATGACAGCGCGCATAGGCCGAGATAGAACATGTCGTGTAGGATTCGAGGGCTTGACTGGCCTCTCGAGTATTTTGCTGTGACACAACAATCTAGGAGAACCTACCGCGTTTGTATTATAAGCTTGAATACATTGATATATACTTATATGGCGTTATGCTCACCGGCTTGTCCGGAACTCTTCCAGGTTAAGAAGCTCACCTGAGCTCTTGGCATGGTGTAGAAGGAAGCATATCGTGGCCTTGCGGACTTCAACGTCCACTGCAGACCATCAAGGCTCTTCATTTCAGTCCATGAAGACCAATGCTATTGCTAAAGCCCAATTGGCTCTTTTTTTGTCGTCATCGTTGAAAGAAGAAATCAAGGTCGATGAGCTGAAGTTAGAAAGCTTCCGCTTAAAAATCCCGATAAGATGGTAAATAACGATAACGATAACGATAACGATAAAGATAATGATGATAACGGATCTGACAGCCGCAACCGGGCCGGCAAGCTCAACTGAATCAAAATTTCCAACTTTCACTCCACCAAAAAAAGTCGAGCATAAGAAACATCGATTATATCGCCGATAAAAGAGATGGCAGCGAAAAGAACGAACTGATTGAAGAAGCGCCGGGCTGGATAATTGAGAAATCACACTTGTAATCCCCATTTGGGCCGAATAAATATATATAAGACACACCTACTACAATGGCGGCCAGACTCTCAAGCGCCATATCACGGCGTCCAAATATAACCACCAGCATTCACATCCCTCAACCCTCCATATTAAAACCCTCGCACACGCCATTCTCTCACACACCCTCACGAGCCGCAACAATCATCCGTCGGCCGCGCCGACCGTATACATTCACCCAGCTCGTCCAGCAAACAGACGGATCAACATACACGCAGCGCACGACGTCGCCGATCGCGCTATACAAGAGCACTAAGGACACGCGCAACCACATTCTATGGCAGCCCTCTGACAGTTCCCTGCGCAATGTCGAGGTCGACGAGGCCGGTAAGCTGGCTGCTTTCCGTGGCAGGTTCGGACGCGGATGGGATATCGAGGGGGCGCGGGAGGAGGACGCTGATGCTGACGCTGACGCTGACGCTGACGCCGCTACTGTGGAGGGCGGTGAAAGTACCGAGGGAGCCGAGGGGGCTGCAGGAAAACCAGCTGCCGCAGATGAGAAGACGACCAAGAGTGACCCTGCAGATGGGCGTTACGATGTACTAAGCGATTTGATATCGAACTACTCAACCAACCAGGACCAGATTAAAGAGTCGGCTAGACCGGCCAAACAGTCGGGAAAGAAGAAGTAGGGACGGGGATTATAGAAAAGTGAAGTGGAAGCTTGAGCTTACCGACATTCTAGAAGATGGCCTGCTCTGGTATCTACGAAGCTAAAAGGCAGTACGAAAGAATCTCGAAGTGTTATGACGAGATGGGAGCTTGCCAGGGCATATAATAACTTGGTATGCTAACATTTGGGACGAGGGAGCTACTAGCGATCAAGGAGTGAAGGGCAACCGAATACCTCTTCTCCCATAGCATTTGTACAACTATGTATACATCTGCCCAAAGCCTCGACTGAATCTTCGCCATCTGAATCGTATAAAAAAGACATCAAATTATAAAGATAACCATATAATTTTATTAGTCTGAATCTTGATCGATAGTAGCCCGTGCTCGATCTACTGCGGTGTTTCCGCGCCCAGTAGACTTATCATTACTCTGGTAGACAGGTGGACGGTAGAATACCGTCTCATCGTCCTCTGCATCCAGCTGCATCAGGAACGTCTCCCACTTCTCAATCAACTATTAAAAGGGTTAGCGTTATTCTCATCGTTATTCTCATAGAAATAGGTCTAATTCTACTCACCTCCTTCTGTGCTTCGACGGCGCTCTCTAGGAAAGTCTCGACAGAAGACTTGAAATCTTCCACCTTTTCTCTCTCGAAACGATCAAGCTCAGATCGCATCAATCTCCCCATATCCTCGAAAAGTAGCCTGGCCTGATGAACCTTACGTTCGGCGTCCGCCACCTCGGCACCAACCTGGTTGAGGCGATCCTGTTGCGACCTTCCCTGCCGAAGCAGTTTGTCTTGAGCGGACTTGCGCTTCTGCAGCTCAGATTCGGCGCTGTGCCACGAATAAAAGGCCTTTTGCCGCTGCGTAAATGCTTGCTTGACGCTACCGATCAATCGAATATACTCATCGATGGTGATGCCAAAAGTCAACACATCCTGTTGGGCTTGGCGGTCGTAGACATCTCGTATAGTAAGCTGCAGATCCGACAGGGCATCTAGTGGTCCAGAGAGCGTAGGACTTAGCTCTACAGTAGATAGAGCATGTAAAGAGGCAGAGAAATCGCCCGCTGCTTCCGCCATGGCTTTGCGTTGGTTAACCATGACATCCATAGACTTCATTAATGCCTTGAGCTGATTTTCTAAAGCATCTAGATAAACTCGTCGATCGTGAAACCACTTTAAATGATTAGAAATTATCTCCGAAAGGAAGGCCCAGACACTTACATCGTCTTGTTCGACAAATTTGCTACCACCTCCAACATTGATACCAAGAGACCCCAGAACGCCCTTGCTCTCCCCGGGTATAGGCTCTCTCCTTTCCTTGTGCTTGACGTCGACGTTAAAGGATTCGCTCTCTAAGAACAACTTCAAGTCGGGATCATGCTGAAGTGTCGGATGTGCAGCAATTTTGTTTAACATCTTCTCTAAAGCGGCTCGACGAGACTCGACAAAATTGCTCTCGAAGCGGTTAAGAGCTTGCTTCTCAGGAGGAGGCGGCACAACAACACCGGGATTGTTCCCATGCATTGTGGTATAAAGCCATAGGAAATCGCGGTATCGTCGCTTAACCTCAAACTCGGGTTGCTTGTAACCTTTCGATGTTGTCTACTCGCCATTAGGTCAGTATATACCATACCATAAGTGTCGGCCCGGGTTCTTGGTCATACCTGCGTACGAACGGAATACACAATGTGTGAACTTGTCAAGTCTCCGACTTTGTGCGGGTCGCCGACAGCAATGCGGAAGCTGGGCTTAGCTGCCTGTTCTATGCTAACGCTAGGCTGACTCGTGGGCCTGGCCGGGCTTGGTTGCGCAGCCTGTACGGGAGGAGGAGCTCTTGGGCCAACCGGGCGGTCGAACTCTTCATCGTCAATGTGGTGAGGATCCGCAGGTCCCGGTCTCTTTTGCGCCGGTGGGGGCATAGATGTTCGAATTACCACCTGTTCCTTCTGCGGTGGAGCTGGTGGTTCATCGGCCTGCGCATCTGCGCCTGGGCCAGCAGTGGTTCCTAGAGGACCTAAAGGACCTAGAGGATCATCGACGGCTTCGAGTTTCGTCGGCTGGGCTACTAGGCGACGCACTGGACCCCTGGAAGGGCGGCCGGTGGATGACTTAACAGAAGATTGCGATTGCTGCGAGGACTCGGCATCTTGAGTCTTTGTAGAACTTTCTATACAGTTCACCTAGTGTTAGCGGCTGAGTGTAGTATGCTGTAGGCGGGGTGAAATAAACTGACCCTCTTGGTCGAAGGTAGGAGAGATCGAAGTTGACTGGGATGGAACATCTGATAATGATTAAGCAAATTGTACAGGGCAAACAGAGGATAAGGTAATCATACCACCCCAAGGCGAATCGCCTGCTTCTCCCAAATCCATGGTGTGTGCTTGACAGTTGACAATGAAGCGTAGCTGGCGCGGAATCGAGGGCGTCGTAAATTATGTAGGAGAGTTGATGAAAGCTACATGTATGGAATAAGCCTATGATGTTTTTGGAGGTGTTACGTTAGCTTTCGGTTGGTGCTGCCGGTACGGCGGTGGCAGCCTATTCCGACTTTCGCAAAGTGGGGCTAAAGGTGCCTTTACATGTGCTAATTTATAGGTACCTATCCCCAAAAGTAGTAGGTTAGGTAGGTACTTTTAGGGATCTACATATGAACATTTTATGCACCTAGGTACCTACCTATGCAAGCACCATATCTACGTGTAATTGGTGTATTTTCAATAACCGCTAATGTTAAAAGTAATAGTATATCTGGAATTCACGATTTGAAAATAAGAATAAAAATAAAAACGAATCAAAATATTTCAGCTACCTAATGCACTCACTATATAGGCAGACTGAAGATGGATAAGCCCTGTGGTATACCCGTACTCCTCAAACGCCGCTAAATGCTAATGCTGTCCTATTTTATCCCTTATGTTCAGTCAACCATAAAGTAAACTCATCGAATATCCCTTCTCCGTTCCTAGTTTTGGGTGGTCTCGCGTTGCTCTAGAATCCGCTGTAGAAATGACTCGGCCTCGGCCCAGAGATCGGTCTCCATGCCCCTCTCAACCTCATCGCTTCGGCTGTTAAGCCAGCCCACATCGAGTCCGCCAATCTTCCCATCGCCATCCGGCTTGATTGGAGCATTGCGATTGCTAACTCCCTGCGACTCGCCGCCATCATCCCTAGTGTTAGGACCGTCCTTATTTTCCAGTGATACGATATGCTCCTCTTCAAGACCCCATATCTGTCGTTTCATACCGACGTTGACGGTTCGTAACGTGCGGAGAAAATCATTCATCGAGCTTTGGAAGACCTGTGATTGCTGGTCTTTGTCGCCTGTCATGGTAGTATCCTCTCCTTGGGATTGTTGCCTTCCGAGGGTTTGAATAGCTTGAGCAGTGGAGCGTAGCAGGCTTACGATGTTCTAATTAAATATTAGCTTTAGAAGGTAGGGGTAAAACGATGTAGGTACGGACCCGATCGATCTCGCCTAATTGCTCAATGCGCTCAGCCTTGGTGAAAGGCACAAATTGGGGTTGTTGCTCATCGGTCTCCATCGTGGGGCTTGTACTGTGGTAGGAAGCTGCCCAAGGAAATTCGGTTCCATTCAAATCGTAGGTGTAGACACACTGTAGATGTAGGTGAGGTTTGGGGCGAATGAAAAAAAAAATTAGTCAAGAGATTTTTGCTTTGTTGTGTATTAAAAGAGAGAAAGATGATGTGCTTAGATGCATCGCAACTTTGTGACATGTAGGAGAGAAAAGGCACAAAGATGGAGTTGCATGTGTTAGAGTACCAGAGAGGTACCTGGGTACCACGTACATGGAAATATCTACATAAGCTGCAGTTGAGCTTACCTTCAATTCACAGATCACATTTTGGCATGTGCACGGCATCTTCACCATCATCAATGATACATAGGTACTTAGGTACCTACATACAACACCTGGGGAATTAGGTACCTTAGTGGGCCTTCAACCTTATTTTGTGTACGTACCCTGCATCAGCCTGTCCTTTTCAGTTTTGAGCCTCAACCTCTAAACTTCCGTCGCGTCTCATCAAATATGCTAATGCTATGCTATCTTTAGGTTCTCATTCAGCTTCTATGGGACTCATCGTAATGCTGATGTAGTATTGTTGCTAGGCTATTGTTGCTAGGCATCGAGATTCTATAAGTCGATTAAATACGCGAATCCTGTACAACTTTTGCCATGTCTAATACAGCACCGTCAAGTGCTGGAGGTGCATCTGGCAATAACTTCACCCCCCAACCGCAGCCGTCAACTACGACTCCCGGTGCTGTTAGCAACCCCGCCACTACATCAGCTTCTACGGCAACTGGCAGTAGCAACCAGAATCTCAATCAAATCGTAAGCCGTAACTTTTCTTTTCAATTCTTTTCCTTCTTTCAACAAACTTTCACTCTTCAAGGTCACTATTTCCTTCAAGTTTCGCACCCCATCTTCGTCACCAGCTTCTTGAAGCAAGCTGTTCCATCACTACAAACATTCTTCTCTCATCTCTTGTATTTTCCATTAATAGGTAATTACCAAATTACCACTTAATGCCTATTTATCTCGTGCTAGCCCGCAATTACAACGCGCGCGCGAACATACCGGTTTATTAAATCTGGATTATCATTCAGACCACTTTCTATTTACATTCATAACCTACCACCATGTCGAAGCGCCCTGTTCCTCAACTTCCATTCCGATTTGACGTTCTGAAGAGGCATAGAGCTTCCGGTGGGCACATCCACATGAGTCAAACTCATGTACAGACTTCTAATATACCAGTACTTACACAAACACCCTTCCCTGAACTAGTATGCCTGGCCTCGCATTGGTTTTTCCCCTTTTGCTTTAGTTGTACTTCATTTGATGTTAAATAAGGCTAATTACATCGTCTAGGTTACGGACTACCTCATTAAGAAAGGGTATAACCGTACAGAAGAAATCTTCCGCCAGGAGGTGAAGGATATTAACGAGAACGGGAAACCTCGAGATCATATTGATGCAGTGGCCCCCAACAAGTTCCTTCCCGCAGGAAAGTATCTGAGGGCATTCAAACATTTTGCAAGATGGGTTGATAATGGAGTCGATCTTTACAAGGTATGTATTATTCCTAACTAAGTACTATGTGACCGTCATCTTACCCGTGGATAGTTTGAGCTGGGGAAAATTCTTTGGCCTCTCTTCATTTACTCCTACCTCCGCTTGGTTAGCCAGGCTTCCTATACTCATGCACAGGAACTTATGGAGCAAATTCGGAGCCGTTTTGAAAAGACGCATCAAGATGAGTTGAAGAGTCTGTCTACCATAACTCTCTCCATACACGTCCGGGAGAATGCGTTCGCCAAGGCGTATCTAGAGAATCAGTACGTCATTCCGATCAGCAAGTCTCTAACTGGACATCTATTCCACTTTTTGGAGCGAGAATTGGAACAGTGTGGAGCCATAGTTCTTGATATCATACAACAACACTGTCGTGTTGATTCCGTGGATCGGGGCCCTATCGAGCCGTTTAGCTTCGAAGCTATTTACCGCCGCGCTCGGCATCAGGAACTTGACGAAGTCGACATCCAAGAGGGTATCCCAGGTGTCTCCAGCCGTAGTGGGCTTTCCAATCGCAACATCCTCGACAATACGGCGGCCCTGAAGCTTGGACCACTCCCGATAGATCCCGATCTCCGAGGTGATGTTGTTGCTGAGCTGGAAGAAGAGGATAGGCTTCGTCCACCCCGAGAAGGATTACCTACATTAGTAGAAGAATTCAATGCCATGCATCCTATTAAGAGAGAATCGGGCGATTCTCCACAGCGAACAGATATTCCATACCCTCCGTCAAGAGCGAGGGACGTCGTCATGGAAATGCAGAAAGTTCGAGAGAACCGAGATCGGTTCAGAATCGAAGGTCGTACCGGTGGTGTAGGCCCTGGTGTTTCAGTTTGCATGTTTACATTTCACAATCATCTCGGAAGGTAAGCATTACTTTAGCTGGCTAGTGTAGAACTCCGCGTTAACTTCATCCAGCATCTCGTGCATGGACTTCTCGAAAGACCAAGAACTTGTGGCGGTAGGAACGACAGAATCGTACATTCGCGTGTGGTCCCTTGACGGCAAAGCTTTGAAGTCTCGTCTGGGGCCTGAGAAGGACATGAAAGTCAACAACCGCAAGTTGATCGGCCATTCTGCTCCCGTCTATACCGTGGCTTTTTCGGATGCTGTAGCCAACTTAGATCGTAATATCTATGAAGACTCGCCCCAGCCGGAGACAGATACCAAGCTTCTTCTTTCCTGTTCGGCTGATGGCCAAGTACGATTGTGGTCTCTCGAGGTTTGGGCCTGCCTTTGCATTTACAGGGGTCATGATGGCCCAGTCTTCTCTCTCTCATGGAGTCCACATGGTCACTACTTTGTGACTGGAGGGTGGGATAAAACCGTTAGAGTTTGGTCGCAAGACCACGCATCAGCACAGCGTCTCCTCGTCGGCCACGACACCGCCATCTCAGCCGTGGCATGGCATCCTAATGGTACGTATGTATTCTCAGCCTCTGATGAGACAGACAAATCGATCCGCATGTGGTCTGTGGTTAGTGGCAACTGCGTTCGTATATTTACGGGCCATACCGAATACATATCTGCAATGGAGTGTGCCCCTAACGGCAAGATCCTCGCGTCGGCTGATATCGGCGGTAACATCTTTCTATGGGATATAGATAAGGCCACTCGTATTAAGCGTTGTCGTGGCCATGGACGTGGTGGAATTTGGTCGCTCAGCTTTAGTGTTGAGAGTAATGTGCTCATATCCGGTGGACAGGATAACACGGTGCGCGTTTGGGATGTTGAGATGCCGGCCGAAGGCAGTCGTCCCGCAAACCAACAGGACGGGGATAGCACAATTGTTGCGGTAGGTGGACAAGGCGATAGCAAACAAAGCGGGCAGACAACGCAGCCTGCCGGCGGTGCAGCCGGCGGTACGGGTAAGAGGAAGGGCAAGGACGTCATGATCACACCGGACCAGATCAGCGCATTTCCGACGAAGAAAACGCCTGTCATGAAGGTTCAGTTCACCCGTATGAACCTCGTGTTAGCTGGCGGATGTTACTATCCCGAGACTCAAGATACAGGTCGATAAAGCCTACACCTCGTTTATTACCTTATCGATCCGGAATTGTCAATCCTTTCTCAATGTGTTATTGTCTATATTTAGGGGCACACGTTCGATAAGCTGGTTATCCTGCCAGTTATCATATGACACGAAGCATGTCCTCTCAACATGGCGTTATTAAGTACAGCTCAATGCTAAGAGTATGTTGATTATACGAGTATGTAGAGACTAGGAGGAGGGCTGAGGTGGATTCCCATGGACTGTATTCTCTAGATAGGAGGGTGCTAAGAAGTTAATCATCGATGGAAGTGTTACAGGAAGCAACTTGATTGATCTGATACCATTCTGCATATGGATACGGGCCAAAATTCGGCAGCAGGTAGTAAATGCGAACGCTTTTCATTAAGACTCTAGACTCTGTTGCTTAATGCCGGGCCGTGTTTTCATTATCCTGACTAGTTCACTGTGAACTATGCCGAAGCAGTCTATCTCCTGGCTCTGTTTCTGTAGCTCCCGCACGCGTTTTGTAAACCGTTCATCTTCCAGCACGCGTTCAACGGCTCCTCTAACCTGCTCAACTGATGGCTTCGCGCAGCCAAGGTCGACTCCGATCCCGGACCAAGCTACTCGCCGCGAGTTTTCCGTTTTATCCATTCCTTCGCCCGCGACTACCATAGGGACCCCATTCGCAATACCGTGGTTCACGGCGCCGAACCCCCCGTTATGTACCCATACGTCAGCGTGGGCCAGTACCGCATCGTATGAAATGTAGTCAGCAATACGAACGTTAGGCGGAATCTCAATATCGACACCGTAGCTAGATAGATTGGCGTCCTTCCACCCGAGTATGGCAATAACTAGCACGTCCGACCGGTTGGCGAAGGCATGCAGTGTAGGTACGATCAGATCGTAGGGGTTGATCTCTACGGTACCTTGCGCGACGACGATAATCTTCTTTTTTGCGGTGTGACCCGGGTCTGAGGGTAGAAGGGTAGAAAGGGAGGTATTGGATGCGAGTTCAGACCACCAGGGGAAGTTAGGAATTTTGCTATTACGAGCAGGAGTAGGAGAAGAGGGTTGAGCTCCGAATTTGCTGCTCGGCGGCGGGCCTTGCACTAGCCCTGCAAACTTGAAGGTAGGAGGCCAGTCACTGCGTGGATATTCAAACCCAGGGACGCCCAGCTGTAGGATAGTATTATGGCACAGATAGTTTGCGCCCGAGAGGAACATCTCGCGGACGGTATGACTGGCACCCGTCTCGCGCATCTTAGTACTTAGTAGTGCGGTCAGGTAGCTAGCTTTGCGCTCCCAACTCCTTTCCCAGAGATTTGCATTACGCACGCGGCCATCTGGTGACGAGTCGAAGGGGAAGGGATACCCAACAGGCGGTAAGTCGACACTACGGATCGCGGGTATAGTCACCGAGACGCACAATGATCCTAACAGAATTTCTTCCAATCTTAAATCATGAGGAAGTGATGCGCCATAGAACAGCGGTAAGATACCATAGAAGAATGCCTCGGCTAATAAGATAATCTTGCGCTCTGGATCGCGAGTCCGCAGCGCTCTCAAGGCGTCCACAAAGCAGGACCATTGCGTAGGAAGAGGATCGAGACACTGATTACGCAGATCAACCAGCACGCGGTCAGCCCAGTGCAGTGCTGCGTATTTAGGAAAAGGCGGGCTTTCATAGTATGCCTTATCGTCGAGGTCGGCATCTGCTCGTAAAGGCAAAAAGACAGCGCCGGCCGCTTCTATACCTCGACGGTGCGCGGTCGGTCCTAGGAAGAAGGTCTCCCAACCTAACGCGTGAAGGGCTGCAGCTATGCGTATCAGGGGGGAGAGGTGTCCGGTTAAGGAGTGGCAGACGATTAGCACAAAGGGACGGTGTATTTCGGCTTGAATCGGCTTCGGGTCCGTCATCATGAGTTTCCGTGTTTCCGCCTGCGTTCGGCTTCGAAATAGAATGGACCTAAATAAGCTTACCTTAGGTAGGTACCTAATAGACCCTAAGTTTTACACTAATCAGGTAACTCAGATGCTAAAAGGTTAAACACCACCTTCCCATAAAGTACTTTCCTTTAAGGTGTGTTGCTGTACTTTATTGTTAGGTCTGATACCTAACGGACCTTAAGTACAATTCTATTGCGCGTGGCTGGGGAGCTGACTAAGCCCCCCTTTTATCTGAACTTTGGTGGATATACATAAGTATTGCTACCTAACCTACCTACATAATAGGTATGTAGTATAAAAGCATTATTAAATATTTTCTTAGTATCCTTTCAATGGATTGGAAATGCCTAACAAGGGACTTATTAAAGAAGTAGTGCGGTATACAATCCCTTGTTTTAGGGGTCCTTGAAGGCTGTTTCGATTTATTAATATTATATATTTTAGAAACTTTGGAGATCTTTTACGCTAGCTTTTGAGGGCCAAGGAGGCGCCCAAAAGGCTTGCGTGAACTACCTACTTGTGGCCTTCGGTGATCATCTTATTCTTAGTACCTATGGGTTTACGTAAATAATACGCTTTTTATAGGTCTCTTTACATCAAATGCATTGTCCCGAGAACTGATTATTGTTCATACCTAAAACGTAGCCCTCCTTATGGCTATCTTTGTATGCTATAATACCTTTCTTCCTTTCGATAAGTTCTACAATGAACTCGAGTCAAACTTATGATACAAATTGGCTACGGTGTCCGTCCATAGCTTCATGTTCTCCGGCACTTAGACGGTATGATCAGAGAGGGCAAGAATCAGAATAGTTCCTTGTTCTTGGTAACCCCTTCAGTAGCGATTTCTACTTGTATTGTCCAACTTAGGTCTTCAATTGAAGGCTGAAATTCAAGAAACTAAAGAGAATGGCGCAATATAAAGGAGCTGAGCTCGAAGACGATGAAATAGTTGCACTATATTTTGATCTGGACGGAGCTTCCTGCACATCCGACTTAGACTCCAGTTATGATCCATCTCAAGATCCTAGTAAGTTTGTTAAAGACGTAGCGGGCTCTACGACTACCGATAATAATGAAGATAGTGGGTATACATCAGAACCATGGCAAAATTTGGAACACATGAACTTTTCCGGCGGTAGTGGTTGCTATGTGTGGCCAGAAAGCCCGTACATAATGATGGGCTCAGAAGGGCCATCAGCCAGGGAGGTTTACGGAAGTCTTGGAATCAGATGGGATAATTGCTTCACAGCTCGGGGAGATACTAGGTGCGTTGAGAAGGAGTACCGCTTTCCTAGCGAATATGCTGGGATTGACTGGATACAACTGATCCAAGAAGCTTACCAGGTATCGCATTAGAATGGTGATGTGTTCGTTTATCGGTCTCTGCTTAACGGTTCATCGATCCTACCTTACTATCTAACAAATATCTATATATATCTTACCTACCTAGGTAGGTAGGTATGTAATTAGTACATATAAAATAAAAATGAGCTTCACAGGTGGGACGACTCCATAGCCTGAAAGGTACATGTGATAAAAATGAAAGATTTTGGTGGCAACACAGTTCTAATAGCTTTGCATTTTAGCAGGATGAATATTACCCGTTCCAAGAGTGAGTTAGGAATTTAACTTGAGCCAGACCTCTAGATAGACATGGGATCATCAAGTCTCGGGGTAATAGCAACATATTTGCTGACAGATTACCTTGAGAATTTGCTTTTTGACAGTCCATGACAATGTTATAAGTAGGTACGCATCAATTGGTTGCTGCATTGTCACTCTTGCGTAAAATACCTGCGTGATGTGAGGCTGGGCTACAGGGTGATAATGATTGCCTATTAAAACTACTAATATATAGTCCTACATAATAAACTACTATCTTAAGGATGTCTTACAATACGCGGTAAGCTGGTTTCTTCTCGTAACCGGCGTCCTGTGTTGTGCTAACGTAAGACTTGATAATACACACTACCACGTAAGATATATCCGCATCATGAATCTCGTGCCAAAGGCGTAAGGGATAGTCGGATGAGAACGACGTGAGCTGACAGCTGAGTCAGTGCACCGCGTGAACCCCATCGGAGTACCATAGATACATGTAGAGCTTGTCACGAGGTGGAACCAAACAATGAGGAAACAGCTTTGTTGTTCCGCGAGGAGCTCTGATCTATCTACGAGGATCTGTATTTATACATAGGTACTGAACATGGCCTTTGTCCTAGATGTCTCATCTAGAATCCCGACAGAGCTATAAGTACCGAGGCATATGTCTCTCGGATAGTTAGCATCGTCTGAAGTGCAAAGAAAATATTCGGAGATTTACCCTGAGAACGATGGCAACTATAACGGGTATCAGTGGTAACCAATATATCCCAGGAGCAAAGGAATACGATGAGGTCAAGTATCAGTACGCTACATCAACTTATGGCAAGGAACGCGACCTCAACCCAGGACTAATTGTCCAACCCAAGACAAAGGAGGATATCGCACTAGCCCTCAAGTATGCTAAAGAGAAGAAAATCGCGGTGGCCATCAAGACAGGCGGTCACCAATATAGTGGAGCTTCGTCAACGAGCGCTCCAAATATCCAGCTGGACCTAGAGCATTCATTTAGGGGTCCGGAGGATCGAGCTATCTTCGAGAAAGATGGAAAGGCGTATGCTCGCACTAGCGTTAGCTGGAGCCTCGGTGAATTCAACGCATGGGTTACGGAACATAATCTGTTTGTACCTCATGGGCAATGCACTGAGGTCCATGTCGGCGGACACGTACAGACTGGAGGTAATATCCCTTTTGTTGAAAGTCAATATGAAATCTGCAGTTTTTCAAAACATCACTTACTAATGGACAATAGGTTACGGTCAACTGGGCCGTAGTTTCGGTTTATTTGGGGACCACATACTGTCTCTCGAGATCGTAGACACCGACGGAAATTTCAAGGAAATCACCAAATCCACTGACCCGGACCTCTTTTGGGCTTTCTTGGGTGGCAGTCCCGGTAACCTTGGGGTCTTGACTCATTTCACCATTCAAATGCATCGTGATCGAGACTATAACGGTTCTAGGGGTATGAAGGCCATGTACTTCTACGACACGGAAACCTTGAAACGTCTAGTTGATATCCTTGTTGAGATGTCTGACGATGATAACTTTCCTCGTAACTACGACCTCTGTATCAGCGTGCTTAGCTCGGCATTTCCTCTACTCGATCTATGCCCTGGGATAGACGAGTGGATGGCACGGAAGCACCCAGAGTACTACGGCGAAAATGGCCTGATTGCGTGGCCGCGTACCATTGTCGTCTTTGCGCAGTGGGTGCCGTTCGAAAGTGGTGACATGTGCGACAATTCGTGGTTCGATCGTATTAAGGAGGGTTCCGACTGGATCCTTGGTAACAGCAATGTCGAGGAGAAGCCCATGTCGCAGCTCACTGGTGACTGGATCTTCCGTAACGTGCGCGAATTCGAGCACCCATATGTCAAGCGCACTTACACTACTCGTTCGCACACGCTTGCCAAAGACGGCTGGGCCGACTGGGTTGTCAACCGTATCGATTCTATCATTCGACCCGAACACAACCGGTGCTGGCTGTCGGCACAGCTACAGTGTTTCGGTGGGAAGAACTCTATGTTCACACGAAATGCAGGAAACGGTACGGCGTACAGCTGGCGAGACACGAGTATCTTGTGCACAATGGATTGCTTCCACAGCGACGAAACCAAAACGCGAGCCGAAGACTGGCAAAAAGTGAACGACGAGGAGGCCATCGGCCCTAACGGTATCTTTTCTAAACAGGACCGCCGCGTGCTCTGGGGCTCATACGGAAATTGGGATTTGGATGCTGTGTGGAACTGTTACTATGAGGACAGGGTCAAGTACGACAAACTTCGTGAGATTAGAAAGAGAGCTGATCCGTATGGGATCTTCACGCCAAATCCATTTTCTGTCAAGAGAGCAGAATAATTTATTTATTTATTTTTAGGATTGAGCAGTTGACTGGAGGCAACGAGATCTCCAGGCCTATAAGGATGGTGGGTAATATGCTCGCGTCCAGCAATACGTACCTAAGATACTATTATCTATTATAACACTCTCTATTCATACATTTGACAACTTTTATATAAGGCCCGAACTCCAGGTGTGGCGGTATTACTTTTTGCTGTTATGTATACCAACTTCATATACACTATTAGGAGAATAAATTAAAACAAGCTCGGGTATCTAGTACCCCTTTATATCTATGCTGCCCTGAAATGTTCTATACCTACTGTAACTCTATCATACGTCTAGGCCTATAAGTCTACCACCCTTTTAACCCTATGTTATTCATCTAAGTCCATCCAATCCTAAATAGTTTGTATCCGCTCTCATCTCCGCGTCCAACACCACGGCGCTTTTCAACACCCTCCATGTTCAGAATTGCGAGATGTCGGTTGTCCGAGGTTTTGGAGTATGATCCGTTGAAGGCGGCTTCGACGGAGTCAATCACAGCCTCGAAGCGGCCATTCGGGCGTATGGTCATGAGTAGCCAGAACACACCCTTAGGTGCGAGCAGGCGGGTCGCGCAGTTTCGAAGCCACATAGCGTGCTCAGGTGCGTATACCACGTCGGTCGCTACCAGCATGTCCGCTAACAAGTCGAGCGGTGCTTCCAAGATAGGGGCGGACCAATCGAGGAAGCATGTCTCTACGCTTGCCCGGTTAAGCTCAATATTAGACTGTAGATTCTCAAGAACAGCCGGATGATAGTCTGTTGCTATCAAGGTGGCATCAGATACACCGAAGTGAGGTAGCGCTTTAGCAAGAACAAGACTGACTAGTCCCGTCCCGGCACCAAGCTCGATGATACGCGGAGACGAGCCGAGGGTTTCTCGACTAAGTTCAAGCCGGCCCGGTGACGAACATAACAGGTCGGAGAAAACAATGGATGCACCCCAACTCTGTAGGCCAACATCGGTGTGATCTGTGGTGGTTTGTGGCGCATCATTGAGTCGCACGTCTATCGAGACCTTTTCACGGACACTAGACTCCTTCAACCTAGGAGAACCCTGATTGGAGAATAGCGATAATTCGAAAGAAAAATCTCGTGTAATTCCGGAATCATCTTCGTCATCCTCGTCTGCAAGTTTGGTGAATGAAGCAAGAATGAAGGAAGCTTTATCAACCGTCTGCTCGCGCTCGCGCTCGTCTTCGTCACTCAGGGGCAGCTCTTCCGCGTTGGCGATTAAAGTCGTCAACCAGCGGATAGCGAAGTTGCGCTCGAAGGCATCTGCACGTAACTCGTCAAGATCATATTCCGAATCTATATCATCCTCGGAGACGTAGCCAGAGTCGGCCGGTTGGACCAGCAAATCATCACGAGCCTTCCCATGTTCGAGTTGCGACTTAACTGCCCGTGGTAATGAGACGGGGCAGTACAGCTCGTAAAGGTTATCTATAGCCGAGAATATTTGTTCCTTATTGAGTGTAATCAACGAACGTAAAGGCGGCAGGCTGCTCGTAGGAGACAGCAGATGACCCGCTGGGCTCATTGGAGTCCTCGGTCAGACTCGCGGTCAGTCTCCGGGGTCGATGACCTGACGAATGAAAAAAGAGAAAAACATGAACATGGGATAATGAGCGACTAGTGAGGGTTTTATAAACTAGGGAGAAAAAAAAGTGAGATGGATTATTACGTCGGGGCCTAGAACGGGCAGAACGGAGTGGATCTCGAATAAGACCCGCTTGCCACATAATTTTTGATACTATCGTGAAAAGTCTCGGCGATAGCGGTGAATGCAACAAACCCCTGACTCGCCGTTTCCCATGTGCTTCTTCAGTAAGATCTCGTAGTTAGATTTATACCAGCGATATTTTAATAATACCTTTTATAAATTCAAGACCTCTTTATAAATTCGAATCGATAGTTACATTTCTAAATGTTTTGTTCTGGACATTGTCAGTCTCCATGATGGATGCATCCCATCATATTCGTGGGTATGTATACCCCTCAATGCATCAAAAAAGTACCTATCTAACCTACCTAGGTATATATTAGAAACTGAACTACCGGTTAAGTACCCATTATAATAGGATAGATAACCTATTGCCCCTACCTCTTCGTGTAATAATAAGACTGTTCAATGGTGTTTTATTTTTTATTAACTACCTATACTTCCATACAGACCTAAGCTACCCGTACCCAATCGTTTCCTTCTCAATCAACTCGCGATATCAGGCTCTCTACAGGAATATAACAATTCTCTCTCACTATTTACCCACCCATCACAGTTATGGTATGGACGTAACGAAGCTTGCCTTTCTCGACTCGGAACTCGTGGCTGTCCGGGACAGTCGCAAAATCGATGAAGACATCGACAGCACCGAGAGTCTCATCAATGACATAACGACGGTTGCTTAGGTTGACTCCTGTAAATCGAGCGTTAATGATCTATCAAAGCCCATCCTTATTCTAAACAGATATGACCTACCATTGGGAACACCGACATCGCATCTATCGTCGGCGGATCCCGAACCAGTGTACGCGCCACCCTCAAGACGTGCGCAAGGGTGTCCCCAAGGGACTTGCACAGTCTTGTCGTTGAAGAGGTCGGCGTATGCATCGGCTGCGGCCTGGATCACCTCGCGGCTGTCGCGCTGGTCCTCCGGGATTGGATCCCATTTCTCCTGGGATGCCCAGTAGAGGGTACCGGTGGCGTTGAAAAGCCAGTCTCCCTGATCAGTAACGAGAGAGCTGATATTGGCGATCTTTCCGTCCGCGAAGCGCAGTTGCGTGCCTATGACGTACGGGTGCGCCTTGTCTGTGACAACGATCTCGGTGTATGTTGCACATTGGGTGGTGTCGTGGAGACTGCGGTTGAAGTCAATATTGAGCGGGTGAGACAGTATTCCAGTCTTGATATCAGCCGTCTTAAATGCTTCCAAGTAGACCACTGTGTCGGCTAGAGGAGCTACCGCGTCGGGTGTTCCCGCAGTCTGTGCTGCAAGGAGACTGTCAGTAGCAGCAATGAGGTCTTCGCGGGTGCATTGTGCTACGGCTTGAGCTGCAAGAAGCCCTAGAGCGGTGAGGGTGAGTCTCAACATCTTCAATCTTGCCTATGGGAACTGGTACTAAATCAAAGCGAAGGGGAAACTTGAGATGACTGCATTTCTTACATTTGGGATGAGTCGGGGTAGCTCCTCCTAAATATAAATTATTACATGATGTCAAAACCGGTAAAGAAGATGATACTGTCGTACTCGAAGAGAATAGCCATATGAACTTTATGTGGGGTTGGTTCGGCAATTCCATATAGCTGGAAGATCATCATCCGCCCATCAAGTCTAGAAACCATACAATAGCACCTAATAGAAGTCGTTGCCACTTTCGTCACCTCGATTAAGACCCAACTTAATTTTAACGAACACCATTACTTAATATCTTCCAAGAAGTGCCTATAGTTTTATATTCTTCTAGGGGAGAAGCATGTATGGGAATAGCCAAAGTTATATTATATACCCGGTAGCCGGGAAAGATCCATATTCATGATTAGGTAGTTTACCTCTATTTCAAATAACTCAAGGTGATTAATCCGTTTATGGATCCGAATAATTACCTATCTATGTGGTTGTATTTCTCGTATAGTCTTGGTATAACCGGTTCACATAATAGTAGCATACCTCTTCAACTGAAAGGAGTGGTTATCCTAAGTACCTAAGATACTCATGTTTGACGTTTGAACAGCCTAAATAATAATACATATGTGGTCTAAGTTAGCTTCTAAAAATCTAATGACCTTTTTAAATAGCATTGCAAGAAGATTCGTATTCTTTTTTATATTACTTACTATCTTTAAATGAGCATTAAGACAATTTAGTTGGGGTTCCTAGACTGCTTTCTATTTCTCTTGAGAGTCCACCATTATTTTTCTTTCCTTAATTCTTCGAGATATTTTTGAGCAAAGACTGTTATAAATTCTTCCTGGGTTTAAACTCGTGAAATATATTGGGTTGCCGTCAGACATATTTGATTATCTCAATTCTTAAGTGCTGTGCTAGAAAGGACAGCAGAAAGTTGATCAACAATGCTCACTAATCCAAACGCCTCTTCTAGAATATAACGTGTTTTCCACCACAAACAAGTGAATCTTTCGACAATAGAGACCTCGAAGAAATAGACAACTCAAAATATCACCCAAATCTAGAAGTACTACTGTATAATAATCCGTAATGAACGAGTTAAGGCAAACTAGGATTTTACTACGTTAACTGCTATAATAATAGAAACGAAAGGGTTCTCGAAGATGCCAGTAATTGCGCCAATGAGGCCCGTGTGAGGGTGATCGGTCAGAAGACGTTGGCTAGGGGCGAAGTTGAGGAGTAGATACACGATCTGTCAAGTCCTTCATACGAGGAATCCATTCGTTCTATGGGAATGGAAGAGATGGGTTAAGCTGGAGGTAGACAAAACAGGACACAAGCTCCAGCTGTGCGACGGAGGACTGCATCGGGGAAAGTTAAGCTTGCGAATATGAAGGGTATCACGTCAATCAATGAATTATTGAGTAAGAAGCGTGAGGCGGGCATGTCATTCGAGGATTAATTCGCAGCACTCAACCGTGACCCCAGACGGCATTGTCGGTTCCAACGCCTTCGAAGACGAGACAATGCCCGGCTGCGACGTTGTGCGCGGCTGGATTAGAAAGTTACTCGAAGTCAATATCATGAACAAGACTGGATTTTCTCGAGTTATAGGGCGCAGTACAAATATCCTGAACACTTTCTTCGGACAGACTGAGCCCAAAAGTGGACAGAGTAGTTTCGTCTATCACAACACTTGGACATGGTTGAAGCGACACCAATCAGCAAAGTTAGCAAAGCCAAATATGAAGAAGAAACAGCCAGAAAAAGCTAATTCTACGAGGTCAAGCACTGACAGGTCGAATTCGAAGATGTCATCAGTGACAATTTCACATCCGGACATTAACCACATCTACTTGGACAATAAAGAGACAGCGTGTGGAACTAATGCGACGAGCTCCGACAGAAGGTCAATGCGCATCTGGAGACTCCGGGAGTAGCACAGGCCCAATCCTGTCGTGATCTGTATGCACAGCTTAATGCGCTCATAATTTTGAGCGTACAGTCAAAACAACTTAACGACTTCCGTCGTGGCCACGGTGCCAAAATAGGAACTAATAACACCGTGTTCTAGGTTCGTTGGATCAGCAAGCTCGAGCCCTTACTTTCACTTCGATCGTTACGACCGCACCGTTTCGATGCCCATATACTTTGAACATGATTTGAGAAGGGGTCTTGAATCACGCTCGGTTGGTTCGAGAGAACTTAATGTTGGCTAAGTTCGCAGCTTCATCTATTTGGCCATGTCAGAGTTGGGCAAATTTCCGATCGCAAGATCATATCTTCCATTATTCCAAGGCCCATTTTCCATTATCTAATGATCTAATGAAATGAATTACATTCTATGAACGTATCTCGGGTTAGAATTACCTGCAATTATTACATCCGTCTCCCCCCTATATACTAGGTACGACACGAGAAAGAAAAAGGTGCTCCATCTTCACATTTCTAGGTCGCCTTTAACCCTACCATTGTTAAGATCCTATGGTAATACCGGAGTCCCACTGCAGTAAGAGCAGCCGCGATGACCGCTCCGATACAGGCTGATAGACTGTAGTAGCCATGATTCCTTGATAACGCATTCTTTGATTTCCCCCCTTTGTCAATAGGATGGTGGACGTAAGGTATTTGCACGTTTTTGGTATTGGACTTCTCCTCCAACCAATCTAGGATAGGAGCTCTGGAGACGACTGGTCCGTATATGCGGTTTGTGCTGTATATTCCGAAGTTGGTGTAAGGGATGATGTATTTGGTCATGATTTTATCCATTGGGCTGAGCCATGCGTAAGATCGAGCCCGACGCATAGACATGGCATGAACTATTGGCTCCTCCTTTCCCCGCTCCTCCTGGTAGTTGGCGAACAGCGCTTCTAAGGCTTTTGTATCCGGTGACCGAGTAGTTTCGAGCAAGCGTCGGAGCTTATTCACGAGGACAACTACATCGGCTAAACCGCTATTATACCCTAATCCGGCGTGAGGCTCCAGTTTCCGAATAGCATCACTCACGAGGACGATGCGATTCCAATACCATTTGTCTACACGACCCTCCTCCAGGTTGATCATACCAAAGTTTCCATTCTGTAGACCGAAAACATCGCGCACTCTTACACCGGGAGCGGCATACAGATGTCCCCATCTCTTTATGACCTCCTCCTTATCCTTTTCGGTATATTTGATGCGTTCTGAAGTAGGTTTATCAAGCGCTTCATACACGCCAAACCATACTAGAGAGTTGCCAGTGAGGAGCTGAGTCGACACACGTCCTGACGCGCATTCGTGATTTACATTCTTTGGCAATGTCGGCGGGATAGGCATGCTTCCAAAGACCATCTTGTACGTGGTGACGTAGGGACTCTTGGGTGTTTCTGATATGCTAGGAGCTGCTCTGCCCTCCTCCATCGCCTGCATGCATTGGCGAACCCTACTGTGAACGCCATCTACACCTATCACAATAGAGCCCCTTTCCACGGTGCCGTCGGCACACTCGACGAGCACTCCATCATCTGACACGTTCACTTTGACAACGTGCTTCTTGACCCTGATTCGTGCTTTCGCACTGTCAGGTAGGCTTTGATATAAGGCTTCAACAAAGAGCGGGCGATGAACAACCTTGATTCCGTACCCGTGGCTAGATCACAATAGTTGTAAGCTCAGTTTCATACTCACTACCTTGGTTCTGTATTGGCATACTTTTGTTCGATCAACTCTCCGACGTTCCACGATAGTAATATGGATCCATCGTCGGCAGACATACTAACTCCATGGTCGACAGGGTTGAGGACGGGCTCTAATGTATCTTGCAGGTCTAACTGGTCGAAAATGCGAAGTGTCGGCGGCCACAAGCTCAGGAGCGAACCAAGCTCGGGTGTCAAAATCTCATGTCGTTCAAGTATAACGAAGTCGATGTCCGTTTTGGATAAGATATGTGCTGCAGTGAGACCCACGAGTCCCCCTCCAACAATTACGATCCGAAACGGTTTCTCTATGGTAGCCATATTCGAACCCGGCTATCATTCGTACTCCGGGTATAAACAAAACGACTTACGGCCGATTGGAGATGATCCCCGCAGGTCGTATTCGAAACGTTCTAGGAGTAGACTCCTCTCCAAAAGCTGGTGTTGAAAGTAACAAGATCCCTGTCGAACGCGATGATCAAGTGGATATCGTACGAAAATGGTGAGGGCCGATTTAGCAAATAGCCTAGCGGATTACATACCTTAGGTAGGTTAGGTAGTTATTATCCCTTTATATATACCTTATATATAAGTTTTGAGATATACCTACGTAGTGGTGGCTTATTCTAATCGCTTAAGATGATTCGGATAATCCGGAGCTCAGTTATGAGATCAGGAATTATTTACCTATCATGGACATTTTCATAACACCATCATTATATCAAGTCCTTCTAAGTCCGGCTGAGTTTATTCCGATGATGCTATCGGTCAAGATGGTATAACGAGTTCAACCTCTCGCGTCACTGTGACTGCGATTCCTTGCTTGGGTCGCTGCCTATTGGCAACAATGTAATGGCCTTTAGCCTCCCTTAACTGTAGTTTAGCTAACCCCTGAAGGCCTCCACGGACGCTATCCGCTTCGTATCCCTTGGCGCGAAGCACGCTAGTCGCCACGCGAGAACTGTCGCCGTCGTAACAGAGGATCAGAATCCGCTTGCCCTGTAATAGCGAAGCTACCTCGCTACACGGTGCTCGAAAATACTCATCTATCTTCAACCACAGCGCTTCGAGTACGGCAGGATCTGAAAATGGACTTGCGGTCGATGAATCCACAAATGGTAAATTGACGGAGCCGGGCAGGCTGAACTCTCCGAAAGCTACGGGCTGACGGATATCAATAATAACCGCATCATCTTTGAGAGCAATGGCTTCACTCAGACCATTTTGATTTGCTGCCTCTTGTAGAATGCCGGACAACATCTCCTCTTTGGTCGCTACTCTCCTCGTTTCCAAAAACAGGGGAAGAACGGTTGTGGCATCTTTCTCCCATGCCTCGTCATAACGGTAAAGATCGACTTTAGTTAGTGCCTGGTCTTCGGGTTAGTGCTGCTATTGTTTCTCGTCGTGTTCACCCGTACCTCGTTCTTGATGGAAGGGAAATACTCCGAACCCAACTTATCAAAGTACTCGTTGATGTATTGATAAGGTAGATCACAGCAAAGGAACACACAATGGATTTCCCCATCCTCGCCTGCGTACTTCGATAGCGTTCCTGCGGCCTTTTGCTTCCCAATGAACTGGAATAAGCCCCGCAGATTGAAACCTGAAGAAGGGCCACACACGATGCCTTGGCGGCACATGTCTAGCGACAAGGAGAACGAGTCGTGTGAGCCAACTTCCTCGATATGATCCACTGCTGATTTCCAAGGAAACTCCACTGGCGCAAGAAGAGCAAACGAACGAGGACCTGGGACCCTATCACCGGGCGCGGTGCACACTCTACTAGTCGTCAGTAGGCCTGTCGCCAAACGAATTAGATCAGAAGCGTGCAAACCCTAAACGGAAGACTGAGGACTTCGACTCCTTAAAGTACATCCCTAATCCCGTCATAGTACCTAAAATCTATTAGTTAGATAATGGTGACCATTGTAGCGTTTTCAGCATAACTTACCAGAAGTACCCATGCCAGCACATATCAAATTTATCTCTGGAAGTTGCCTGAGAATTTGGGGTCCTGTCCATCTAACGTGTGCTTTCCAGTTCTATCATCAGTTAGTCTTTGCTAATAGGTATAGAGAAGTATACTGTAGGTTAGGTTACATCGTCATTCTCATATTGATTTGGGTTGATGATCGACTCATTATCTTCGGCCATCCTCTCAGCTGCCCTGATCCCTCCACGCTCATCGGTGGGCTCTGGTTGAGATGGGCCTCCAAAGAGAGTACTGGTGCAAGGTCAATCAAAGAGGATATTAGGAGAGCTAGGGGTCAACTTACATATCAAGACCGAAAAACTGCATCAGTCGTAACTTGGCTACGCTAGTCTTGTTGCTCAAAAAAGCACGAACATCAGGAACGCCGTGGAAAACTCTGGAGACGAGGGACATCGATATTACAGTCGAGCCCGAGCTGTATTCGATGATGGTCTTGGTCTTCCCCGGCACTACGCTCTTCTCTAGAAGGTTTAATGCTAACACAACGTTAATATTGAAACATGTACGTGATATTATACCGATGGCTCACCCGGCATGGCCTTTACATTGTTGGCTGGATGCATCGTCATCATTTTGGCGTATATCCTCACGCCATCACGTCGATAGGGGTTAAGTTGGTCTGGGATCTCCACGAGAGGCAGAGGAGGAGCTGAATCCGGGTCGAAATAATCCTGGACCGAGTTCGCGCCCTTGTAGACGTTGAGGAAGTTGTTGTTGTTCGACATGGTCGATTGTCTTTGTTCCTTTCCTATGAAGGTTCATGGGCCACACTGAAAAGCCTAGAGGTGCAACTAATACGAGGAGCAGGATATATATATATATATATACCTAGGTAAGTACGCTCGTTACCTGGGCTTTTATTACGGGGGGTTTAGATATGCCGAACTGACGATTTAGGGTCAGTTTTGATATCACATAGTCGCATCCACATCTCTAGGGGCGTCACAACCTGTATCCAGATTAATAGGTACCTGGAGGCCTAAAGGGATCTTGCTTGAGCAGATATTCTCCCCTGGTGCATGACGCGGACGCGGCAGTCTAGACTATTTCCTCCCTCGGTCGTCAACAAGGTCTCTTTAACAGGTTTCTTGGCTCATGGCGGATCGGCATGTCGCGAACGTCGCTGACATTGACGCGAAGAGGTTTCATAAATGATTAACATCCAATCTTCTTCGGCACACACGAGCAAGTAAACTTCGAGAACCCCATACTTAGTGTCCTCATTCCTGGATAGTCGTTACATAGGTTGCAATATAGCGTCGATCCTTGTACGAGGCACTTTGAGGTCGTTTCCAACCAATCAGACCGTCGAGCCTGACCCTGGTCATGTCTGTGTGTGCATGGCACGGTGATAGGTTAAACCTTAGTTTAGGTAGTATCAGGGAAGAATCATATATCCCATAACCTGGGCTAAATGTACAATACCTAAGGTAAACTTATACGTGAAGCTTTGCGTGATGTGTTTTAATTTTTACAGTCCGAATTTGTAAGCCTGCGCGCTTTGAATAACTCAAAACGTAGTCTCTGTAGGATCTTTCCATTTTTTAATAATAATAATTATTATTATTCCTTCTTTCGCTAACCTGGCTGGCCTACTTTCAGACATCTTAGCTCTCTCGTTCCACCGCCTTTTGATCTTAGAGTGGAAATCCGGGGACTTATACTCTACCAATCTTTCTATATTGCTGGTAACTGAGTAACGTTATACCCAACACGCATTTTTGACGGCCTAGACTCTTATTACTTTAAATACCGGCAGGTGTATACTGGCATATCGGGTTTGCTTCGAAGTAGATCGCTTGATGAAGACCTTTTTCGTCCTTCTGGTGGATTTTTTTACCTTGTAGATCTCTTAGCCGCCATCAAGGTATATCTTCGTCGCCCGCTCACTACGTGATTCCATGACAAAATAAATCCTCGATCGAGTTGCACTTTAAAGCAAATATCCCACGCACTTGCAACTAGTGATGCAGAAGGTTGCAATGGGAGACCGATCCCAACCCGACGATGTTGCTAATGTCACCATTGGGGGAGAAACTACAGTATTCACAGAGTCCAAGGGTGGCTCAGAAAGCGGTGCCAAAGCAGGCCATGTCTTCAACGAGCAGACCAATTATGTCCCTAGAAGGACCATCATCACGGTAAATATCGCCAAAGCAGAGACACCTCCATGATATTTAGGTGCTAACTGGTTCAAGATATTCCTCGCATGTGCCAGTGTCGACCTATTAGCTCTTATGGACCAAACCACGTTAGCTGCAAGCTTATATATCATCGCTGACGCGCTGAAGTCAACCGACCAAGCGTCGTGGATTGCTAGTGGATATTTCATGTAAGTACTTGCTGTACAATATGGATTATATCGGTATGAAATTATCGACGTTGATTATGAGGCTAAACACTCTACCAGAACATCAACTGTAGGACAGCTTTTATATGGGCGGCTTTCAGACATCTGGTCTCGCAAAGTGATCCTACTCATCGGCTTAGCTATCTTCTTCGTTGGCTCCTTGGCGTCATCTCTTTCCCAGACTGTAACTCAGCTGATCATTTTCCGTTGCTTCACCGGCATCGGCGGAGGTGGACTGATGACCATAGCTCAGACCATTGTTAGCGACGTAGTGCCTTTAAGGGAAAGGGGGAAATACCAAGGGATCCTGGTGGGTAGATTTAGCACCCCTCGTCCTTGGTCTCTATACCTGACTGTTTTCTTAGGGAGCAGTTGTTGCTATTGCTAATGGAATCGGTCCCGTCGTTGGCGGGGCCCTCTCCTCTATCTCGGAAGACTCTTGGCGGTGGATATTTCGTTTGAATTTGCCTCTCACCCTGTTGACCACTTGCTGCGTTGTATTCATTATGCCGCTAAAGAAAGTGGAGGGGAACTGGAAATTGTAAGAGAAGGCCATACTCTTCTTAGTATCGTCATGTGCTAAACAATATCTCTAGAAAATTGAAAGCTGTCGACTTTCTCGGTATCATCCTTACTCTAGCTGGTGTTACCGTCCTGATGCTGGGATTGACATGGGGTGGTTCTGAATACCCATGGGGTTCCGCTGCTGTAATCACCACCTTGATTCTCGGGTTCGTACTCTGTGTAGCCTTTATTCTGTGGCAATGGCGCGGGCCACGATATCCTTTAGTACCCTGTAAGCTCATCCCATCCAGTGACTATTCGCATCTGCATGTTGCATGTATCTAACAGTTGACTTAGTACATATATTCAAGTCTAAGATCGTTAATGGCGCGTGCCTCACTATGGCTATCAACGGCTGGAACTTCGTCGTTCAAGTCTACTACGTCCCTACGTTCTATCAGCTCGCCTATGGGTACTCTGCCACCAAGGCTGGCGCTATGCTGCTTCCAATTACGCTCATACAGACGCTTAGTAGCACGCTATCGGGTCTAGTGGTTCACTGGGTTGGCAGGTATCGCGAATGTATCTTGTTTGGGTGGGTTTGCTGGGCTATTGGTCTCGGGCTGATGTCAACACTAGACGAAAACTCAGGGCTCGGGAAACAGATAGGGTATTCTATCATCATTGGAGTAGGGGTTGGCAATACACTTCAGCCGTGAGTTCTGGGTACCCTTATTCGCATGAAATCATTGAAACTAACGCCTGATATACAGAGCTCTAATAGCCTGTCAAGCTGGAGTTGAGAGGCGAGACATGGCCGTTGTTACGTCTTTTAGAAAGTGAGAATCCCTATTGTTATTAACTAGAACCTTTTCTAACCAACATCTTCCAGCTTCGTACGAAACCTTGGAGGAACATTGGGTCTTGCTATCTGTGGCACCCTACTGTAAGCAATTATTCCCAAGGTTCATAATTAGCTCTTTTTTGACTGACCCGGTTCTATAGGAATAACATTCTAGCAAGTTCCATTTCATCGCTAGATATTGACGGTGCCGACTTCAAGGATCTCCTCAACGGCCCGCAATCTTACTTGTCGTCTTTGCCTCTTGATGAGGCGTTAAGGATCCGCTCAGTCCTCATTCCTGCGTACCGCCATGGGTTTAGGGTGATATTCCTTGTAGGAGCATCTCTGGCTGCTTTTGCATTCGTCATTGCTTGGTTTATGATGCCACAAGTTGAACTAAGCCGTCCTGATGATGAAAAACTGAAAGAAGAGGGCCGAAGACAGCAAACGGCAAAGCAGAGCACCCCAACCCCTTAATGATATCGTGATGACCATCACAATTATTAATCCTAGATTTACTATAATAAGGCGGCTTAAAGCTATAAGACAATATAAAATCTAATATTTACAAGTTTGCCGTTCGGCTCATAAGACTTTAGCTTCTATTTAATCAAATTAGAGTGATATCTTGAAGTTGCCAAAGTCCTTTCCTTTGTCCTTCGATCATGTCTAGATCAATAAGCTCTGGTACCCAACAGCAAGAGACAAACCGATATAACTCTCTGGACTGACCAACAGGTCGTAGTATGTAAGGTACTGCAGAACCTACTAATACGCACAATTTATCTCCAATGTGGACATCTCGGTTTGCCCCCGTACTTCCCATTAAACCCGATGCTGTAATGAAAGGCTTGCGGAAGTTACAATGAATTCCCAACTTTGAGTTAAAGTCTACAATTGCGCGTACTATTAAAGGGCCATCTTTCATCAATGGTACTCTTCTGTTACGATTAGTTAGCAGGTCGTAGTTTTCGCTCATCTCGGTCTTATCCCCCGGTAGCTCATGAAAGAGTGCGCACTTCCAGGCCTTACGCCGATCAGTTTTCGTTGTGAATTTTTTGCGTGCACAATCTTGGCGTTCCATCTCGTCTTCCCATTCAATAAGTCGTGTGCGACAGACTCTTATTGAGTCATTGAGAGTTGCGATTTGAGATGTACCTGGTTTGAAGCTTTTGCCTGTGTGCTGGATACTTGGTGTAAAGACGTATCCTTTGATCGTGACTCGACGTAAATCAACCGAGAAATGAGGTGGGTTTGGAGGTGGTTGTATCCCCTTTAGCTCGTGGACTTGCATGTAGGTCATAATGCCGGTCGAAAGCTTCGAAGCTGTATCACCCTCTAATGCGGAGGTCCATGTCGATGCCCACGATGGTAAACCCTCCATAGGACCTACCACAGAACAGAGAGCATGGGACAGCAAACCACCCTTAAATAGGAAAATGCTCAAGTCCCTAAACATATCCGCAACTGGTTTTGTATAGTCGACTTCGAGCAATTTTTCGTTTTGCGCATCGCCTTTCAACAGCCCAAGGATTCCATACAACCTGTCCCTGGGCTCAGTCTTCTCGAAGAAGCGAGTCTGCCAGAGTAAATCAGCTAGTTCGAGGTGGATTGGCTGGCGATGTCTGTCTTGAGGCCTAGCAGTGCGAACCCGTATCCAACATCTCTGCATGTTATCCGCTCTCGATGCGCCGCTCAACCGCCAAATATGAGTGTTCTGGCCAAGTTGAAGCCTACGCAGAGCATCTACGGCTCCCAGAACTCGATCCCAATCTATCAACCGGTCTCCGTAAACCACCGTCGCAGACTTTGCCAGAATAATTTCTTGAAGCATCCAGACACGGTTGAACCATGGTTGGAAGAAAAACTTATGCAGTAATTCTATTCCGTATAGTGAATTGCTCATTTTCACCATTATCGTGGCTGCGGCTTCGGGATCTTGGGAATTTGTATCAGCCAATAAGTTCAGTAGGTCGATTGTCTTGTCAGAGACGCATTCGCCTCGAATAAAAGTATCTGGACCTAACCACACAATGACATGTCCGGCTTGGCTATAGATTTTACCCATTCGACCGACCTCTTGGTTTCGCTCTTGAACATTAGCTTGGTCGATACATAACGCATCCACCCAAATAAGCCTCGTTCTGTCTCGAAGTCGTAATGCACGCAGGGCAGCCTCAAGGTTTCTTGTGACCTGGAATGGTTTCTTATTAAGGGTGATAAAAGCTGTGCTGGTAGCGTCGCCCCATACATATGAGAGAGCTTCGTATTCATGACTGTCTATATTTTCAATAAAGGGGAAATTCTCGACAGTGCATTCAACATTTCCGCCTTCCTCTCCTTGGTATATTGTTACTAGGCGGATTTGAGAGCCGTCTATAGGGAGTGGTTCATAAGTATTGGTGTTTGTTGATTTTTCCATTGTCTTATCCGCAGTAAAGAGAAAAGATTTTGAGGACATGTAATTTGCAACACTGTAGTTGTTGTGACAGGGTCGTAGTTCGAATCTTTTAAACTCTGTGCACAGCCTAACCTGACAGCCTACAAGAATGCCTATTGCTCAGAGGGTTACATGCTTCTACCAACCCCTCACTCTTACTCGCAACATCAAATAAGAAGAGACTTCACAGCCTCTTTTTCGCGGCATAAGCTCGGCTTTTACCGTCCACGGGATTAGATACTTAGGTATCTAGGTACCTTACTTAGCATTTATAGGTTAGGTACCTGTTATTCGGGTCTACAAGGGTATACGTAGGTGCCTATCTAATATTCTACAAGGTATGAATCATCAAAGGTGAATATAGGCGAGAGGACTATTTCTTCAAAGAGGAAGAAATAACTCTTCTTTACCTACAATGCTTATTATTAACTCTCGCACTAACTTTATAGAACTAACATTACCTTAGGTACCTAAGGTAGTTAGTAACCGGAATCAGGAGCTTTATTCAGTCTGTACATACTAAAGCATTGGGGGTAGAAGAGGTATATACGTCCTAAAGTATTTACTCAAATACCTGTCAGCGAAACCCTAAATCGACCTACTTGCCTGCATAAACACACGTTATATCGCAGCTCGCAACATAACGCCATGCTGATGACGACAGTGCTTATCCGTCTCCGATTTGCTTGATTTTCATAGGTGAAGGATGAAAATACGGAAGTCCCCTCCAAAATTTATGTCCATAGAGAACCCCTTACTATGGTCCATGGATATAACTTTCGAAGGGGACTTCCGTACAACTTCCCCAATATGCAACCCTGTACCCCGCCCGTATTATCTCGTGTATATTAAAGCCAAAAGATAAGGTCGTGTCAAGCAATACTAGAACTGAACATATTATTCTTTGATGCACCCTACTTTATATATCTCCCTTAGTATTCAGTAAGAGATACTATACTCGTAACCTCCTTTCGATGAAGCTTTCGCGCCCACGTTCGCAAGGCCAGAATGTCAGTCCCTCAGCCTGGTAGAAGAGTCGTTAAAGACGAATTACGACCAATTCTTGCAAAAGCTGAGTTAGAGCTTCCTGATACTCTCTTAGAAGACCATAGTGCATTTATATCCTCGTTGGATGATATCATTGCGTCTCTCCCAGATGATAAGAGTATATTACCCTACCCTGACCTCGCTAAGTATCCGCGTACGGATATCCATGTTCCCGAGGACAACGAATTAGGCGCGTGGGCAACTAAGGTAGAGTCTACCGAATTGGCCATTTGAAGACTCTAATCCGAAGAATAGGTCACTGCGAAATGTATAAACCCGACGAGCGACCTGCTTAGGGGCCGCACTATAGCGCTCAAGGATAACATGGCTTTCGCGGGAGTTCGGTGTACGAACGGGACGTCCATGGTGGATTGGACTCCTAATATCGATGCAATAGTCGCGACGAGGGTTCTCGACGCTGGAGCTACCATTGTCGGTAAAGCCGGTATGATTCTTTGATCTAACTATAGGTCCTCATACGTAAAGTTTACGTGAGGTTAATACGATACAGCATGCGAAAACTCGTGTCTCGAAGGAATGTCTGGAACAGCCGTGACTGGGCAGGTCCATAACCCATTTGCAAAGGGATATAGTGCTGGGGGATCGAGTAGCGGATCGGGACGACTCGTCGCGACTGGATCCGTTGATCTAGCCTTTGGCTGCGACCAAGGTGGAAGCATTCGGATTCCTGCTTCATCTTGCGGTATTGTTGGTCTCAAGCCGACTTGGGGCTTAGTACCCTATACTGGCATTCTGAGCTTAGATGCGACTATTGATCACGTAGGCCCGATGACCAAGAACGTGAGAGATTGCGCTTTATTCCTCGAGGCGATTGCGGGACCAGATGGATGGGATGATCGCCAACCACCACTCGGCCTCGAGGGAGATAGATTGAAATTTGTGGCTCCTGTAGACCTGACACTTGGAAAAGAGCCAGCAAAGATGCTCGAAGGCTTCAAAATCGGCGTGCTAAGCGAGGGCTTTGAGGTCCCTGGGCAAGATGCTGCCGTCGTGACATCCGTAAAGTCGGCGATTGAGAAGTTCAAGTCACTCGGAGCGGAAGTTGCTTCGGTTTCGGTACCGTTACATAAAGAAGCCCCTTTACTTTGGGCTTGTGCCTTACCTCTGCCAGGGGGGCGACAGTCGCTCCTTGGCGATATGGATGGGAGGAAGCAGCTATACTTAACGGACCGCGCTGAACTGGTAGGCCCGAAGCTGACCCAATCTCAGTTCGATGCCTTAGGCCCCGGAGTATCCAATATGTATGTTGGGTATCTGTGGATCCAAGAGAAATACGGCGCGAAGGTGCAGGGGAAGGCTATGAATCTCTTGAAAGCTACCAGCGTAAGACTTCCTGCTTCAAGTATTACTGGCATATAACTATAGGCTGATTACCTGTTACCTTATAGGATGCCTACAACAAAGCGCTTGAGGCGTTTGACGTTTTAGTTATGCCAACTCTGCCTTATCCACCACCACGTTTACCAGAGCCCGAATCAAACGAAGGTCCGCGGAACTATTTGGCTCGGACAACAGGATTAATAGCCAATACTTGCCCATTTAATAGTATGTGAAAATCCATGCTCTACTTCAGATACAGATTACTGACGGATATCACTGAGAAGATTCGGGCCATCCTGCTCTTTCACTGCCCGTTGGTTTCGTACCTGCTCGTGAAGACCCGACTGTAAAGCTCCCTACGGCCATTCAAATAGTAGGTCGCAAATATGCAGATGTCGATTGTCTGAAGGTAGCAGCCGCATGGGAGAAGGAGTTTGACTGGAAGATTCTCTAGGACTAAATGGTCGGTCCTAGCCGAATCCCTCCCTCTTAGACGTAACTATAGTTTCGGCACCGAGAATCGAAATTTATAAGGCAAGGATATTGTCTCTTCCTACTTCTTGTTGGATTAATGACTCTATTTAGGCTCTGTGAGTGTTTAAGCAATAGGTAAACTACACATAGCTCGAGACTTTCTAGACATTGAAATTAGGCAATCACAGTGAGGCATACCGCAAATAACTCAATGCCTATCAAAAGTCAAAATGATACTTTCGTAGTCAGAGATTGGCCAACTCAAACTTAGTCCAGTATTCATCAATGTTGAGCCAGACCAATTCTGCTCCCAGGTCCCATTGCTCACCGTGTATTTTGCATTTGGATCTAAGCCCTGTAGCTTCAGCGGCGGTGGTAATGGTTTCAGGGCTGATCGGATCTGAAAAGCAAATAGGACAGCGGAGTCATGCTCGGGAGAGACGAACATAGCTGCAGGCCAGTTGGACTGATCCGGGAGTGCTAAGCGGTAGAAGTCGCCGTTAATTACGATAGGGTTAATTTTCTGCTGCGTAGATATCAGTTTGGGAATCGTATCGAGTTCCTCTTGGGTAAGTGTGGAAGGATCTAGCTCGAAACCGAACGACCCGCACATCGAGGCCACAGCTGCTCGAAAGGCTAAAGGAGTAGTACGGCCGGTTTGATGATTCGGGACAGCGCTGACGTGACAACCCATTGCTGAGGGCGGATAGGGATACGATGTGCCAAACTGGATGTAAAGACGTTCTAAACCATCTGTATCATCGCTTGTCCAGCTCTGTGGCCAGTAATGAAGCAAACCGGCGTCGAACCTAGCCCCCCCTGACGCACATCCTTCCCACAAGATCTCCGGGTGTACAGTCGTGAGATTGTCAATAACCCGATATAACCCCAATATATAAGCGTGGTCTGCAGAAGGAGACTGCATCTCATGAATGCCACGGTTATTATCCCACTTGATATACTTGATAGGAGCAGAATCGAGTATCTTTTCGATTATCGTAATGATATAATCTTGGACCTCTTGAAGGCCAAGGTTTAGAACAAGTTGATTTCTTTGAAGTGTACGGTTGTGATTTCCCGCATGCATGCACCATTCAGGATGCTGCTTATACAGATCAGAATCCGGACTGACCATTTCCGGCTCAACCCATAGTCCAAACTCCATATGTTCCGAGGTGTTCTGGATCGTTATATTATCCACTTGTTCAACGTAGGGTCTGAGACCATCAGGGAACTTGGCTGGGTCAGGAGTCCAGTCACCTAAGCCGAGACTATCATTATTTCGGGGATAATCAGTACCAAACCACCCATCATCGTTAACAAACAGACTACAGCCAAGGTCAGCAGCATCTTGGGCCAATCTAACCATTGAAGACTGATTAAAATCGAAACCAAGACCCTCCCAAGAGTTTAGCAGTGGTGGGCGAGTCTCGAATGTGTAATTCGAGCGAGATAGATGGTTTCTATAAAGCGAATGGAAAGACCGGGACATGCCTCCCAACCCTTGTTCTGAGTAGACAGAAACCACCTCGGGGGAAGTAAATACCTCTCCTGGTGCAATAGACCACGAGAGGTGCAGCGGGTTCAAGCCAAGGAGAACTCTGACCCAGCCTGTCGACCAGCGTTCGACGTCGGCGGAGAACGAGCCCGTATAAACCAAAGAATAACCGGTCACCGGACCGGAAGACTCGGTAGTGCTCGGAGAAGCCAGAGCAAGAAACGGGTTATGGAAATGAGATGAGTACCCTGCAGATGAGCGGAAGCTGGCAGAATCGTTAGCTGATTAGGATTATTGGGAGAAGGACTTGGGGGTTGCCAAATGCAAAGAAAGATAAAAGCTACGGAAGAAGTCCAGCTTACCCTTGCTCTCCGTACGTGACCGAGCGTCTATTAATGCGAGCCTCTGCAGCCCAGTCACCATAGAGATCAATCATCTCTAATTCCTCATTCGGCATATCTGTGCTCCAGCTACTAGCTCGAAGCACCGTTACATCCCGGCTTCCATTATTCGTAATCCTAAAGTTGCGAGTAACGGCGTTATACTTAGGGAAGATGGAGTAGTAGAGGTCCGCAGAGATATCAGAGTAGTTGTCGTATAAGCGTATAGTAAGTGTCGATACGTCCCCTTCGCCGCCGTAAGTGGCGGGTAAGCCGGGGAGAGAAGGTTTTCCTGGGCTAATATCATACCCCGTATACGAAAATGCCGATACGGTGTTCCCGTCGGAGTGTTGAATATGGATTGCCGGCACTCGAAAATCGCCACGACCAAGATCGGGAAACTCGCGTCGACTGTACGTGTATGGAGTGCCCCATCCGGATACCACGCCGTTAAAGTCGGGAACCGTCTCGGCCGCATAGGCGCCCCAATGATCATGGATCAAATCCAACGTCAACGGATCAACATGGAATTGATAGGAGATATTGGAGGAAGACAGAGAAAACGAACGACCGTCATCGCCCACAGAAATCCCTAAGAGGTAGTTAGTGAGCTACTACAATTTTTCAATTGAGGAGTGATGATAAACAGTCCCTTACAATTCACGTTGTCTTGACACAACGCCAGCAAGGGGAATAGAGACCCTACCACGGTCGTGGCTAAGGGGGTTTGAAATCTCATGTTGTGTGGCTCCTTTGTTAAAGAAGTAGAGGGATCAAACGCACAAACGCATCGGTTTTAACCCGCTCATCTAGGCGCATATTTATTATTTCTCACTTCGATCCTTCGGGAGGAGTCAGTCTACTTCAACTCCGAGATTCCATGCCGGTAGATACGTCATCTGCAGCCCAAGATTCCTATCCTTGTCAAGCCTATTCAGCTCGGCTCCGGTGCATCTGACATCGAGAGCAACTTGTTACTAAATTAAGAGGTAATATCTTAAGAATTAGGTTAGATTAGGTACCTGGGTAAGCTGTCGCGCGTGAGGCTACTTGTTAGTATGAAGAATTTCCACATTAAATCTTGAAAGTCTGTCGTAAGAGATGTGGAGGTAAAGAGACAAAGAGGTAAAGAGGCACTCCGCGCGGAGCTTGGTGTTGTAGTATGCGGCCTTGGCTCTTCCTAGTCCTAGCTACTCCGCATGGGGTATCCTACTCTAGTCGCCATCTCCATGGTTATAAAAAAGGAGACATGCGGGGAACAGGTGGATAATACAGATCTAAGTAAGACTACGGCTTGTACGTGCTGTACGTGCTGTGCGTGCTGCCCATAGAATACCATTTAGCAAATGGCCCATGAAGTTCTGGTCCGAATACGCGTCCCCGAAGTGACCCAGTGATGTGTAAAAAGAGCGTCCACCGTCGAACTCTCGACACCATGCTAGCGGATGATGCTGGCCTAATTTACCCCCTTTATAAGTCTCTTCGCTGATAGATAGCAGCACGGTAACCTTTGTGCGGGGGTTCGCATCGAAGTTATACCACTCGTCAAACCACTCCCACTTCTCCGGTAGATCGGAGACGATAACGTGGTCTTTCTTTTCAACAGTTAGGACGCCGGGCTGCGGCTCCGGATGATCAGTAAAGACGGCACCGATGAGTTCTCCGTACCACGGTTCTCTCGTCATCCCAGCTGCGGCACAGTGAATCCCTACAAAACCTCCCCCGGCTCTCACGTAGCTCTGCAATCCAGCTAATTGTTCGTCGTTGAGAAAGTCACCGCTCGTCTGCAAGAATATGACGACTGCGTACCGAGATAGGTTTCGGGCGCTGATGAGGGATGCATCTTCCGAGGAGTCTACGGTGAAGGCATTAGATGTGACGCCAAGACGTCGGATGCCCTCGATGCCCGCAGGAATTGATTCGTGTCGATAGCCTGCCGTCTTACTAAAGAGGAACACGGCAGGTTGGTTAGACGCCATGAGACGATATAAACACGACTATATCAAATGCTGAAAATACAATAAAAATAAAAGACATAAATAAAAATGAATCACGCCGGGTGGGCTCGTAGTTAAGGTCATATTATCCTAGCAAGCTAAATGTAATATCCCCCTAGCAGGTCGGTATCGCATATGTTTAGCCAGGGAGTACCACACGCGATGAAGCTGAAATAGGAAATAAAAACGAACATAAATATAAAAATATGAAAGATTACATAGTATCTCCCTTGGTGTCATTAATTCAAACCACGATCTGGCCGTATAAGTCATTAGGTGCACAATATCATTGCGCAGTCAACATGGTTTGTTTGGTTAACGTTCTCGAGAGGTACTTATTAAGACCATAGACTCGACTGCTTGTTGAGTCGTCTTTTACTCAAGTTTCCGTGCATACCTAAGGTACCTAAGGTATGATCCATTTAATTATGGCAGAAGACAAACCAACTCCCGCGTCTGCTATCAATGTTATGTATCTGAACCCTATGTGGTTAAATTAGACGATTCTTACTACAACGAAGAAAATGACCCCGAGATGTTAGATCCGCAACAGCCTGATCACGGAGGTTACATATACGGCCATCATAATCTTCAGCTTTCGAAGATGATAGGCCGGTTATTGAGCATTCTGATTATATGATACAGGGCGGGAATTCTGGTGAAGTTAACACTATGGTTAACATTATGAGGCACATATTTGCGTTGACGATGGGTATTTCGCCAAAGTCTCAGCGCGAACAGGCGCATAAATGTGATGTGGCTATGACCAAGATGAGACGGCTGTGGGCGACTAAAGTACGAGGAACAGATGATGTTGGTACATAGCAACAACAACGAGAAGAAAGAAAGGAAATTGTAGCTACAAGGCAAATTTTATGATAATGCACTAAGCTAACATACACCAATCGACCGCGTCATACTGTTTGAGTGTTCCCGGCTCTACTGCCCGAATAGTTATATTGTTCTCATTAAACATGATTATTTATCTCCGAATATGTGGAGAGAAGTTGGCCGCAGTTTATTTCTCCACCAAATGAGACGAGATATAACGAATTAGAACTCAAGAAGGACTTAAGGAAGACTCAACACATGGTGGTTGAAGCTCTCGGAGACTCAAGGGGTTTTGTATTTCGGTTTCCTCAAACCCCGAAAGATAAAGCACTCATTAGAAGGCCATTAGAAGCCGTTGTTTTAGTGCGATGGGGGGCCTTCGAGGTAACTCGACTCGACTACGGGCCGTTTCAAGGGGTCGAGCAAGGGGTCAGGACCAGGGGCGGGACCCCCCACCCACACGCAACGGCAGTGGAACGACCTCCTGTTAGATGATGTGCTGCTAGGTATATATCCGTATAAGATGAGACGCCTCTAGAAAGGATGAGTTTCTTGCTCTGATCTACGATTTTCCCGTTCATCTCCCGTTCATCTTCGTCATTTCTGTGTGATCAGCCGGTCTGCTTCGATTCTTAGGGTAGTTAATTGTTTTCGTACAGCGTTCCGTTCTCATCATTCATTATTATTATTCTTCGTCTTCTAGTTCTGTGAACATCATGTTTTCCCTTAGACAGATCTTTACTACTTCGGCCATTCTGGCAGTGGCTCACGGCCAAGGTGTTATTCTCAAAGCCCAAGGAGCGAAAGGATCGCCGGCGAGTCTCGGCCTACAAGGTATGTTTTATAGCCGTGTCTATTCTTAGTGCACATTCACTAATACGCATTCAAGTTAATCCCGATGACAACGGCGACGCCAACTTCATATCGCAAGTCGAGATTGTGACAAATATCGTGAACCAGTGCGGGAGGACTTTACAAGCCGGTAATATCGATGTGGGCGCTACTACCGAGGATGCTCTGGCAGCAAACCAAGTCACCAAGGTGACCAAGGGCAGCAAGGTGGATATCACAATTCGCCAAGTTAACGAGACCGGTGCTGGTCCGTATACTTGTGATATGGACCTGACGGGCAACACGGCTGGAGCCACAGGGCAGATCAATGTTACAACAACTGAAAGCAAGGCCAACAAGAACGGGGAAATTACTCTCCAAGTGACGATGCCCAACGACTTGGCATGCATCGGATGTAAGTTTATACCAAACCTAGAGCCATCTCAAACGGTATGATTAACGGATCGTTCTCTTAGCTTCGACTGGTGACGTTTGCACTATACGATGCCGCAACGCGAATGAATTCGGTGGGTGTGTCGCAGTGCAGCAAACCGACACTACGCCCGCTGAAAACACGCCGGAGAACATTGAAGCATTCCAGTCTTTGGAGGGCATCACCACTCAGATCCAACAGAACATAGCTGATCTTCCGGCGGCTGTCAAGGCACTCTCGGAGTCTGGAAAGTCTGACGCGGAGATCGGAACAGCTATCGTAGACGGGATCCAAGCGGCGGACCCGACAACCAACGGGCTTGCACAGGACCAAGCCAATGACGGCAACGCCGGTAATACTGGCAACACTGGTAACAACAACAACAACAACGGCAATGCCAATGGTAACGGTAATAACCGGAACGGCAATGCTAATGGCAATGCTAACGGTAATGCCAACGGTAATGCCAACGGCAATGCTAATGGCAATGCCAACGGTAATGCTAATGCCAATAACCGCGGAGGCAGAGCTGGTCGCAACGGGGCCAACAACAACCAGCGACGCTCAATAATGCGCCGTCGCAGAGAAGCACAGACGGGCATGTTTTAAGCAGCGGAAGATAATGTAACCTAGGTACTCTGCTCAGTTCGGTGCGTGGTTTCGGTGTATCATGGAACTGAGGATGACCAACGAGTGATGTACATTGATTGAAAACAATAATCCCACTTGTGTAAATAGCAATATTCATAGACTAAAAGCTCCCGGGTGAGCTCGTTGTATTTGTTTGATCTATTCTTTTTTGATCTATTCTTTTTACATCAACATCGGTCGACTTTCAGAGATGAGATGAGAGACATGTCCTGAGCAGCCAATTTATGGTCCTAGTAACTGACCCCAGATCAAGATACTAGACAATTTTCTAAGCTCACGTTCTGCTAGAGATGAGAAGTTAGGTACTTTAGGGTTGAGTACCTCGGGCTGATATTCCTGACCGGTCCATCTCATCTATCATATATCATATTATATCATACCATTCGAGAACCATATCAGTTTCGAATCTAATATTAGTAAATCCTAAAGGCGGTTAGCCTGAGTTCCAGGGTGTACCGGTATTAACAGCATGTCAAAATATCCTAGGCGTATTAACCGACTCAGTATAGCGAAACTAGATTGTGATTGGACAGCTTCCCTGAACAAATTCGACCTCATCAAATTTGAGATTCCCAAAGATTGCTGCTCTCCTGAACATTTTAACTAGGGATTACACCAGAGTCCCCAGAGCGATCAAGATGCTTGAACGCTTTATAAGCCCTTTCTATCCTCCCATCGAGGACCGTTCACCGCTACCGGTCCTATATACGCCCGGAGCGTTCGTGGTACTGGTGTTCGGCTATGCAATAGGGCCCGGCCCAATCCGGACAGCTACCATCAGCTTGTTGCTAGTCCTCTTCGCTCTCCAGAGGCCATACTACACCGTCGGTAATGCGGCACAGGACTACGGTCTTTCCGGTTGGTTCATCGTCTTCTTACCATTATTCCTAGACTTTAGTGCTACGAACCCGCGCTGGGTAGGCCGAATAGATGAACACCCACCGAGGAAAGATAACAAGGGTATCACACGGTACGATCTCAAGACATGGTCGCAACGCCTGGCGTAAGCGTTCCGCCTAGCCACGACTCTACGTGGCATTGGCTGGGATTGGCAGGTCAAAAGCGTACCGGGGCATCTGGAGTCAAATGCACCACGCTCGCAATTCGTCGGCAAGAGAGTGTTGGACCTCGCCGGGCATACTTTAGTTAAGTTGATAGCTCTTTATAACATCGGGTTCTGCGAGGCAATCCAGCAAGAAGCACCACCATCATCGTCGTGGGTTGATTGGATTCTCAGAGTTGTTAAAAACTAGTGTGGCGCAATATGGTCCTGGAATACGGTCGGTATCGGATACGCGGTCATATCGATAATTGCCGTCCTCTTGGGTATCTCTGAGCCCTGGGAGTGGCCACCAATGTTGAATTCGGTAGCGATGGCCACGAGTGTGAGGAAGACGTGGAGGTAAGTAGATCGATCAGTATGCGTGATACTGACAACTGCGAATGCTAATGCTAAGCCCATATAGTGTTGCGTATCATCAACTCTTGCGTAGGGTGAGTAGACAATCAAAAATTGCGTTATGTATACCTAGGTAGACTACCTAGATAACTAACGCCGGTTTCCCCATAGACCGTACAACAACCCGGTCTCAGACTTGCACGACTCCTTGGTTTTAAGAAAGGCTCTATTCCTTCTCGCTACATTCAACTTTATTTAGCATTCTACATCAGCTTTTCTATCCACTGGTGGCAGCAGTATGTGATCACACGTGGGGATAAGGGGGAATTTGCCTTCTTCATGATACAACCCGTAGTAATTACTCTTGAGGATTTTTTTCAATGGGTTTGGAGAAATGCCATAAATACTAAGCGAAAGCAGGATCTTATCTGGTTTGAGCATGCTATCGCCTATGTGTGGACGTTTACTGCTTTCACTTTCACCCTAACGCCTTTCTTAAATGGGATGGTAGCAACAGGAATCATTGGGGGCAGCCCGGAGGAGGTTATAGCGGTGTCACTTGGGCATAGACACGGTGCCAAATACTTACATCATTGACGTTAGGTTGACCATATGTCACACCGGGTATTATTAAGCAAAACGTTGAAACCAGTAAATATATACTACTCGTTATGAGGTAGAGCAAGAAGCATAGAGACAACGAAGTTGTTCCATGAGGAACTCTAAGGGGCTAGTTACGGAAACCTACGGCTACTTATGCACACTGACATCTATAGGAATTGTTTATAGTTAAATAACGCGGTATAACTATAGGTCTTACACTTTTAAGATAGATAGGGGGCTGGCCTGAAGGGTTGCAAATAATAATATCTTACAATTCATTTGCTTCCTTCTACTCCCGCGGTCCCAAGTGTTTCGTATAGATACACTTTATCCGCTGCTTCCGTACGCAATCTTTGAGAATGCCTAGGTACCTAGGTATGAGATTACATGACTTCTTTCAGAGTGTAATGCAGAAAATCCATCACGTGTCTGCCTGGCACCATCGTCATATGTTATAACGACGCATTTCTTGTTTAAGTGCTCTTTGTCAACCTTCAAGACTAACTAGCTTATTTACTAATGCGTAAATATCTAGCGCTTATTACACCGTGAGATGTAGGTTATGGGTCTATGACGTTTAGAATATTGTGTCGAGGAAGACGGGATAACTACCTCCTATTGTGCTATCGAAGCTGCGCACGGTCCATCTTCCGTACAGTTCAAGTGTTGTCTACCTATTTTCCAGTATCCAGTGGTCTTATAGAAATGATCCAAGTTTATACATGTAGGTAGGTAGGTAGGTAGGTAGGTACATAATAAACTCAGCCTCAGCTAGGTACCTAGGTGATCGCTGCTGGAATGTCGATCAATATGCCAAGTATGGGACAATATGCTCTGTACCAAGCCACTTTGATCTTCCTTGGAAAGATCACGTCAATGGCCATAAATCCCGGGAATGCGGAGAACGAACCAAGGCCATATCTCTAGCTAATCTGATCCTCACTTAACGACATAAACTGCATGATCAAGAAATCATCCCTCTATGAGTACCTACTAACTAAGTATAACTTTATACATGTTAATTCCAACAAATGTATGGGATTTGTGAGAGCTTTATGAAAAACGACATACTTGGATTCAAAAGGCGACATCTAGGGAGATTATTTGTATCCTTTATAGGATGGTACGTGAGAAATATGTATCCCTTTGTCTCGGTGGTCTTGAAGTTGTGGCTAACAACTCGGATAGGACGGCTTAAACAAGCACGATTAGTGGCCTACGTTAACTTTTGCCTCGTCATCAACGCCGTGCCAGAAACTAGGCCTATAGTATGTGTCGTCCTTGATTGGCTTCAGGTACGCAATTAGACCATGTCGTCGTCTTGGCCCTGATTCTCGACATCATGACTTCATCGGGCCTTTGTTTTAGTTAACGACCCCGCGATCGTCGCCGCCAATGGTCGCGAAAAGAGCTTCTTTAAAGGGAGCAGGGTATACCCTAACATCTCTCTTCTTCCAATATGTAGGCAGTTAACCATTGAGCAACATTCAGTGCAGCTTTCTCGTCTCGTTGCCAGTCAGTTACCATGCAGTATAAGAAAGCTCTTCCCTTGGCGTTAGCCTCTCTTGCCGCCGCTCAGACACCAAGCTTGAGCGACGCTCTAGGTTCTCAAAATTCGTCTCTGTCATCTCTGAATGGTATGATGATACACATCCCCCAGTACTTGGATCTATGGCTCATATCAAATAGCTCTTCTTGCATCTAACTCCCAATTTTCCGAGTCTCTAAATCAGTTGCAAAACGTCACCATTCTGGCCCCCAGCAACGATGCTTTTAGTGCCCTGACTATCAACAATGAAACCACCTCCCTGCTTGACAACTCCGACTATTTGCAGGCTTTTTTGAGCTATCATATCCTGAATGGCACATACTATAACGATAATTTTGGGGATGAATCTGTCTTTATCCCTACACTGCTGACCAACAGGACGTACACCAACGTAACTGGCGGTCAGGTTGTTGAGGCCCGGCTTCACGATAATAACGTGACATTCTTCAGTTCTCTAAAGGAGAATGCTACTATCATCACTCCTGTAAGTACTTCGCTTGGATTAGGGAAGATAAGTCTCGACTAATGACCTTGTAGAATGTGAACTTCACTGGTGGCACAATCCACATTATAAACAGTTTCCTCATTATCCCTCAGAATGTGACAGAGACTCTGTCTAACGCAAACCTCACTGCTGCCGAGGGTGCTATCAGCACGGCCAATCTGACTGACTCAGTCGTTGACACTCCCAACATTACCATCTTCGCCCCGAACAATGACGCCTTTAACGCAATCGGAAGCATTATTAGCAACCTTACTTCGGACCAGTTGACTAACATTGTCGGCTACCATGTTATCAACGGCTCTGTCAACTATAGCGCAGAGCTGCAAAATACAACACTTACTGCCGCCAACGGACAGGATATTACCATCACCGTGGTAAATGGCACTGTATATGCCAACTCGGCAAAGATCACAGTTCCCGACATCTTGTTGGAGAATGGCGTGATCCACGTAGTCGATCAGTACGCTCCCTCCCATAGCGCAGCCATATGCTCAGCATATTTTGCTAACACATGAAACAGAGTCTTAAACCCGGATAACACGTCTGCAGCCCCTGATACGACAGCTTCGTCAGCCACACCTGCGTTCACCAACGCCAGCTCCGTATCCGAAGGTGTACCTTTCACCAGTGGCGTTACAACCCCTACTACTACTTTCCCCGCCGCTACATCAGCAGGCGGTTCGGCAGAGTCGTCTAGTTCAGAAGACGCAGCTATGCCCATGAAGACTGGTGCTGTTGGCGTAGCTGCTCTCTTTGGTGGTGCAGCCATTATCGCGAACTTGTGAGGAATACTGGTTGTATTGAATTAAAAATTAATATGAAGGAAAACGCCGTTAATGAAAAAGCGACGGAAATTATAAGGGGGTATTTGTTCCATTAATGTAATACCTCAGGCATATTCAAAATTGGCACATACAGCATCTGATACTGCTGGGTTATAAAGACAGTCGCTGTAATCGTTTTCATCAATCGTACCTTTTAGTACATGGAGTTTCATGCAATCCAGAACCAAATTCTTTCTAGGAAGTTCCTTGGCTTCACTTCCGGCCATGTGCCCTCCAGGCGGTCTACCTCTGCCTTGCCACTCCACAGGTCCATGTCGCTTAGTTTAACCAGTTTTGTCCGTTTAATTATTTTATATCCCAAAAACAGGGAGAGAAATATCGGGATGTCAATATAAGGCGGTACGAAGGTTTTTGCGCTGAACTTCCCGGGGAAGAAAGCATCGTACCCATTGAAAATCGCGACAAGGAGACAGAAAAATATGGCGAAGTAAGCTAGAAACGGTTGCCAAGGCGATTTATAAGGCAAAGAGTCCCGTGAGATCCCATTATAGCGTAAGCCGTAATAGAAGCGCAGGTAAGTGATGCAAATGGCCGACCAGACAATTAACGTTGAGACAGCTGAGATATTTGAGAACCAGAAGAAGACCTCTTCTCCTTGGTTATTTACATTCATGTAGGACAGCAAACTAAGAGCTGTGGTTGCGCCGACACAAGCATACGGAACACCCCATTTCTCGTACTTGAGAAGTTTGGGCGCTTTACCGTCTAACGCAGCGGCATACAGAACTCGGGTTGATGCATAGAAGAAAGAATTGCCAGCAGACCACGCCGAAGTGAGAATAACGGCATTGATAATAGAAGGCAAGACTTTGACTCCGCCGTTCTCGATAGCAATGACGAAAGGTGATGCCGCGGCTCCGGGAGCCGAGTTCTTAATGGCATCTAGGAGACGGTCATCTTGGGAAGACACGCATAGAGTGACCAAGAATATAGCGACAATATAAAAGAGGGCGATTCTCCAGAAAACTCGTCGGACTGCCTTGGGAATATTACGTCGTGGGTTCTCCGTCTCACCGCTAGCAATCACCACCATCTCGGAACCCCCATATGAGAACGTAGCTTGTATGAATACCTTCCAAAAGGCAAGAAATTTCCCGAGCGATCCTGTCGTCAGATATTCGTTCATCGGTCCCGGGTTGTTCCAGTACCTAAACCCAATTCTCTCACCGCTAGGCGTCCCGCCCAAGGTAGTGATAAACATGAGGAGGATCAGCCCGACGATCGTCGTGAGCTTGATAGCGCCAAAGGCAAACTCTGCCTCGCCATATACACGTACGGGGAAGCAGTTAATAATAACCATCGCCAAGAAGAAGACGGTGATCAGCGCGGCTTTGGGAACGTCGTTTGGCCAGTAGTCTACAACCACAACTGACACCGTCACCTCGATCGGGCAGCCGATAGCGAGTTGGTACCAATAATTCCAACCGAGGACAAACCCTAACGCCTCGTCGACATATCGCGAAGCATACACAGGGACGGCGCCTGGTAAGGGGAGATAGGCTGCCATCTCGCCCAGGCTATGAACCACACAGTAGACGTTGAAGGCCGTGATTAAGTAGGCAAGAAAGGCAGACAAAGGGCCGGCAAGTGATAAGACCTGACCGCTGCCAACGAAAAGTCCCGTACCAATGGCGCCCGACAAGGCCATGAACTGGACGTGTCGGGATTTAAGCTTGCGATCGAGGGTACCGACATTGCGCGTTTCCTGTTCAGCCTTTAGGTCACCGATGGCATCGTCGTGATTATCGGCGACATTCGTCTTAATTTCAACCTTTTGTCCTACTTCGACGTCCGCCATTGTTACGACTTATGCGACCTGTATTTCGTTCGTAATGCGATTATATCTGCTCGGAGCTGTCGTGTGTCCAAGACGAAAAGGAAATCCGCATGGGAACATAAATTACCTAAAGGTATGGTAATAACCCTCTCGACAATAAAGGAATTTACACAACTATACAATTATATATGTATATATATACCTTATATATATATATATATATATATATACCTACAGGTATTTATCTACTCCGCACGTTGCCAATATGTTTATCGCGGGGAAGCTCGATACCGGATCAGGGAGGTGGTCAGAACCAAATGCCACGTTGCTAGGATATCGTCGTACGTCAGGGAGAACGTGTCCTGTGATAACACTGCTCGCATTGCTTCTGGTTATCTAGACGTTGGCTTAATGACCGCCGGGACGTAACCGAATCCCCCAAGACTAAGCGCCCCGTCTTCCATAAAACATGGCAAGAAATCCGGGGAAACTAGCTGAATGCTTAACAACGGAGATATACTAATAAACTAGGTCCGTACGCAGTAAAGCTTATGGTTCCGTGACAAGGTTCCTTGGGGTAGCTGAGGAGATATTGATTTTTCCAGCATCAGAAACATTTCGAATGGATCGCGTGATGTAAACTCTTGTTGCACGCTTAGTTAAAAGCAACTAGGATCTGCTTCCCTTGGGAACCTGGGCATGTAAAAGATAACGAATATTTGATTCCTTGTAATAGATTACGATGAGGTAAGGGACTGTATATGTACAGGTGAGGGAGAGAGCCGATCAGAAGCTCACTACCGGTGCGTTTTCTAGGTAGAAAATGGTTTAACGTCTCTTGGCATTGTTACCGGGATGGAATCGTACTTGTCGAAAAGTTATCACAAGTAATAGAAGATAAGAAAGGCAGTCCTCGAATAATATGTAAGTTTGCCTGCTGTTTAGGAGGTAGTTACCCCTAGGTATTCCGATTCATATCTTCGCCCTACTCGAATCGTCATCGTGGTTCCATCCGGGCATATCTGCAAGGTCTTTCGCAGGCGCCCCGCGTCTCGACTTAAGAGCATCGCCTCCTAGCCGCCATCTCCACGCATGCGCAAGGTCTTCTGCTAAATTATTTTCTACCAACTCGACCACATGCTTGCCAATTATAGGTAAAAGTTTGAAAGAGTGTCTGTGGATGTTAGCGATTATCATAAGAGAACTATCTGGCCGCTTACCCGCTGTCCCCTGTAGCGAGAATGAAGTTTTTCCATCTTGGGTGCTCGCAGATCAGCAATGCTGCGTCTGCGGTGTCTGTACACCAGCACAGCGCTCGGTTGAAGAGTTCCTTGTGCTTGAACTGCGGCAAGAACGTCGAAACGGCTCTACTCACCGACTTCTCTGATGCGTCGGGATACGTGTCTGTAGGGTGCTTTGCGTGAGATCGCGGAACTGATATACGTTTGGGGCTTGCGGCACCGTATGGTTGATGCTGCTTAAAGCGAGTGAAACCCGGAAACTCATCGCAGACCTTAATGATACTGTCCCTAAAGATTGTTAGCTTCTTGCTTGATATATATCTTCATTTGTAGAAGTTTCACTTACTCGTTAGGTTCGAAGAAGAAACCAACATCGCCATTGTATACCACAGGCGAGTCCTTATACTCGACAGCTTCTTGGGGCGACAATTGTATCATGGCATATACCCATGCCTATTATTACTGATCAGTATTATGACATCTCTAGGTTCTCATCGAATATCGAAATACGTACTTTAGAACAACATTGATCCTCCAGATCTACCAATGCAGGACTCCAAGCTCCAGTAGCTAGAATGACCTTGTGAGCGTAGTATTTAGTCCCATCCAACGTTTCAACGCCGATGCATATCGTCTCGTCGTCTCCGAAGAGCGGTCGCTTGAAGGACCCTGCTCTGTTCGAGTCTCAAGTTAGTAAATTCGCAAGTCTACCTAATTAATAAGAGAGCTTGTAGTATTCTTCCTCACCCTCCGAATCCGAACTTGACTCCTTGATTTCGCAGCTCCTCGCCGATCGCATTGATCGCCTTGCCGGCGGCTAACCAACCACCATCGCTGCTAAATATGGCTTTCCACCCCTACATCATCTTCGTATCAGCATATCTCGCTCACGTATAGACTCACTGGGAAATCTCACCTTGATTTGGTCTCGTTGCAATAGCGGCATCTTAGATAAAATTGCATCTTCGCTATCCAGCCATTCGTTACTCTTCTCTAGTCCAGCACCTGCGTCAAGTAAGTCTTGATACTCCTGTCGAAGAGAGGCTATGCCTTTCTCTGTGCTTTCGCAGTCAAGCTAGGTTGCGTCAGCGTCAAAAGAGATGCGCGAGGTAGGTGACGTATAAGTTACCCTGCCGGTATTATGGAAGAAGGGCTTAAACAATTCATCATTTCTCCACATGTCTCTCGCCTCCAGGCTCAGCTGTAAGTCGACTTTATTCCGTAATTGGATGCCCATAATCTTGTTGAGGTCATTCCCGGCGGATTGCGCAGAGGGTATAGGATACGTGTCAAGGACGGTGATATTCGATGGTGTATACCCGGAGCGCACAAGATGAAGAGCGGTCGACGAACCGATTGTGCCGCCTCCGCCGACAACCACGATTTTCGTATTTGCGCGAGACATGGCCATACTCTCATACAGATGATGTGCCTTGGATTTTACGATTTGACGTCTATCTAGTCGAGATCTCAATTATTTGCAATTAATGTTGATGATCAAATAAAGAAGCATGCCGTGCAAGACCCCCCCGTCAAAGCCAAATCGCAACCCCCAGTCCCAAGTGGCACGATATTGATCGCGATATAGACTTACATAGTACTCCTCCCCAGGGTATACGGAATCGACACCTCAAGCAACGACTCCGGTTGGCCGGTGACAAGGGAAGTTTACTAATAGCGTAAAACAATGAAATGCTCGCCTATTAATTGGGACAGTGGGGAGGTTAAGCTCTTGTCAAATATCCACCTCCTTCTAGACGAGTAGATTAAAACTAGCGTTTATATAAATTCGCTATCTTCCTTCTAATGAGATTGCTCCTCTGCTCTAGAGGCTCAGCAACACACACCTATGCCCAGCTGATAGATCCGCAGGTCGGGACTGTTACGGTTACTAGAATAGGGAAAGCGAGTAATAACGACAAAATTCCTGGCTTTCACTTATCGTCAGGTCCCGTATGTTATTGGCCAATGCAGAGTCGTATGCGTCGGCATAGATTCCCTAAAACTTCAAAACGGTACAGTCTAAGGCGGGGCTAGGAAATCAAGTCTAGGGTCTTTACATGCTCCCATAACTTCGGGACTGCTATCGTTTCCTAAATCGGTCTAATGCTGCCGAGTAGACTGCTTTGGCGCTCGCCGCGGTCAGGTAGAGGTGAACCGGATAAGACAGCTTGGCTTGGTCTTCGGACATTAGGTACTATTCACCTGGCTCCCATGCCCAAACCATAACATAAACAATATGTACTTTCTCAGAGTTTCGCGGGGCCCCAAGATGTCTTTACCCTAGTCTAGAAAAGAACTGCTACGCTATCTAACGCCGCCACCCTAGGAATGAATCCACAGGTTATCTAAACCGCCGCTATGATAAGCGGAGGAAAGCTGATGCTCGGTATTAGACTTCGCGATATGGCTGGGGTATAAATATAGGTATAGGTAGGTATATAAATATGTATATATATCTGGTGAGAGGTCGTGAGCATGTCTAGGTACTAAGAACCTCCATTTCACTTCAGTATTTAAACAGTACACTAGACTTGTTATACTCGCACGAATAGTAGTAGCAGTCAAGACAGCATCAAGTCATGTCTAAATTCGACGCTGCACCTCCCAATACCCACGCTGGTGGGAACGATGATGCGCTTCGAGGACAGGGTTCACTCCCGATGAACCCGACGAATGATGCTGATGAGAGGGTCGACATGGACGCCTACAGGAAAGCAGTTCCGTTATGGAAGCGAATCCATCAGCACAGCTTGACACAGATGCTTCTACTCAGCGTGGTATGTACGGAAACGTAGTCTCGACCCTTGAAACCTTTTAGCTGCCAGAATATGTTCCAAGCTCCCATATTTCATATTTACGGCGGCTGACATTCAGTACCTACGTAGCAAGCGTTCTGCGGCCCAGCAATGGCAGATGCCATCGCGGGTCTCGGCGGTGGTGGTCTAGCAACTCCCCAGACGTCTAACATAGCGTACGTTCCTAATCCGAGCAAGCACCTCAGAGGTCAACTATTAACTAAGGCCTTTCAAAATAGCACGGCGGTTAACTATGTAATGCTCGCTACCGTCTGTATGTTTGGCGGTCCCATCGTCAATAAGCTCGGAACAAAGTGGGCGTTGGTTATTGGCGCCATGTCATTTCCTATCCGCGGATCATCGTATTACTGCAATAGCAAGTTCGGGAATCAATGGTACCTTATTTTCGGCGGCTTCGTTACCGGAATTGGCAGCGGCTGCTGGTACGTCGCAGAGTCGGGATCCATCATGTCACTGGCACCATCCGGTTCTCGTGGTAAATACCTAGCATTGTGGATTGTCGCCAGAAACCTCGGACAGCTAGTCGGAGGCGCTATAAAGTCAGTAATTCAATTACACTACACCGAAAAACATCAAGAAAACGTAATGCTAACGATAATGATTCCCTTCTCAGCTTATCTAAGAACTACGAGAAAGGAGTAGTTGGCGGAGTTACTCCTGACACTTATATTGCTTTCTTAATTATTGAAAGTCTAGCGTAAGTAACGAGTCAACCCAAGAATAACTCATTACACCCACGTGGATGCAATATACTAATATACCTCCAAGGCTACCGTTCGCCCTCTTAATCTCGCCTCTTGAGAGCGTCGTGCGGTCCGACGGCACACGCATTCTGGTCTCGGAGAAGCTCACGTTCAAACAAGAATCTAAGCTCATCAGGTTCACTATGACCTCGAAGCTTATCCTACTTTCGTCTTTATGGGCAATCTGGTCGTTCTTCTACGGGTAAGCTACTACACCGACGCTGGCTTGACACGAAACTAACCAACGCAGTGGTTCATGGTCTACTTATCTTGGTACCTATTTCTCCGTCCGCTCTCGCGCGTTATCTTCGCTCGTCTCTCCGTTCCTCTGCATGTAAGCGGACCTTGTCTTGCCCCTATGATCTGGGATCTATCACTAAATAAAGTTATAGCGTCGGATGCTTCGGTCTTGGTTTTATCCTCGACATGAAGTCTCTCAGCCAACGTCGTAGGGCACAAGTGGGCCTGTTTACCGTCGTTATCCTCAACTTAGGCGTGTACATCTGGTCCATCGTCATGCAAGCCAGATTTAACAATACAAACCCCGGCACGATCGACTGGGATGAGCCGCTCTACGCTCCGTCCTTCTTACCATACTTCTTCATCCAAACCACGGGTCCCCTGTCGCAGTCTTATATGTATTGGCTCTTGTCATCATTTGCGACAGATGCTCAATCCAATGTTCGTAACGGCGCAGCTTTCCGGTATGTTGGTCGAGCTGACTATGCGTCGTGTACAAAAGTGGGTGTCATAACTAACATTTTTGATAGGTGCTTAGAAGCTGTCGGCCAAGCTATTTCGTATGGCATGAATACGCAAATCGAAGCCAATCCCCTTATCGGATTGTATGTATTGCTCTTCCCTGAGACGAAATTGCCGGCCTTTGTACTAACAAACATTCCTTAGCTGTGTGACCTTCGCTCTTATGGTAGCCGCTGTAGGCCCAATGCTAGTTCTAGTCAATGCTACACCTGATCGCATTCCGGCCGACGTGATACTTGAAGCACAAGAGGCGCAACAGGAGGAGAAGGTCCAAGGGCTTAAGGCCAAGGCATAGGGCGCTTAAGTATGGAGCAACTATAAAAGCTGACTGTTAGCAAAATGTAACGTCTACGACTTATATAGTATAAGAAGAGGTTATAACGAGATTTATACCTAACTGACCGATAAAAAGTAACGTTTTATCATTCGACTAATTGGATCAAGTCGGGGTTAATTACCTATCCCAATATAACGGGCTTTAGTTCATAACAACACACTATAAGTGATGTCTCTCAGCGATGCTATTGCGCTCTATAGTTGTTAAGAGCAAACTTTCCGAATTCTATCCTAGCGTGAAATGAGAGTATCATTTCTCTCAGAGGCTCTCACTACCATAGCCGTCGGTCGGGATAAACTAGGGCGCATACCTTAGGTAGTCGAACAATTTCCGTGCTTAGAACATAAAGGGGATTGTTCCTTTGGTACTCATAGACATGTTCATAAGGGAGGTCCAAAAGGGTCACCTCCTTCTGGAACAACTTTTCGTCTTTTCGCGTCTCGCCCTTCGCCGATTCCATTCCCAAATACCTTCTCATCTGCATCGGAGCCCACCTTTGGTTTCGCCTTCGGCACGGTCTCCTCTCTTCGCGCCTTCTGTAGAGCGACTAGATCGGCTCTATCAGGGTCTCTACACTTGATGAGCTTCCTCCGCAAAGCTTTAATAGCTTTGGTACTTTCCGGCTGTCACCTAGTAGTTAGTTATGAAGAATCAGAATCATATCTAAGCTCACTCACATCTGTCCAATAGCTAGCCATCTTCTCTGGGGGTTCCTTCTCTAGCATTTCTTTGCAGTTTTGTATTACGCCCCAAACTTTAGCTTTGTCTTCTTCGCCTTGGCCCGCGAACGCCTCTCGAAGCATACGCTGCACCAATTCCTCATCAGCCATTGCCAGCGCGGCATACATAATCTGACTGGGTGTGTAGTGGAAATATGCATCGGTAACCAGTGGACTAAATTTCAAGATATCCCTCGTTCGTTTATGCGCGTGATTTATCCTGTCCTGGTCGAAGTCGCCCAGTCTTCTGAGCTCCATAACAGTTCCTTCTAGGGCACGAAACGGATGTCTCACATCGAATGCGAAACGTATGCCCTGGCACAGAACGTATTCAGCAGCCAAAATCATCTCGCCGGTCGTATTCGGAAAGGTATCTGCGATCTTTTGTACACGTATAAAGTAACCCTCAGCCTTGCAACCAAAGAATATGCAGGTCTTGATAAGCTCCTGCGGCGGGTATGTCATTACGCTATTGGTGAGATAAAAGCGCCGTAAAAATATGGCAGCGGTCGCTTGGATATCGGTCGGGAGTTGGCAATAAGGAGCGGCGCGCAGTAGCTCGAGGGTGAAGTGATTCAAGATAGTATATTCTTCGTCGGGGGTTAGAAAGTTAGGTAAAGGGTCTACAGGCGAATCTGAGGCACGTAGACGATTGGAGATGTGAGTTCGCGCGAGGGTGTTAGTTTTCTCGCGAAGGGTAGCGAGATGTGACGGAGTGAAGGACCACAGCCGATATTGGCTTGACTGTCTGTATCGAGCATCCTCTGTTGCCATGTTTATAGTTGGTGTCGACGTCGCGAGGTAGACTCGATTAGCTGTATTGGATTATGTACTCAAAGAAAATTAGTATGCGGGAATATGATACTCGATTTGCAGTCTGTTGCTGTGAACTATCCTTTTGATTAGTTGAAGCTTTCAATGTTGTAAAGACCAAAATTAACGGAAGGAATTTGGAAGCAACTGTTTACCTAATATGTACCTGTAATTCTTTGATGATGGAGAGTGGACATGCATGTACAATAGGTACCTAGGGGGTACTTACCTAGGTACAGGTACAATACGTAAATCTCCGATATCCAGCGCTACATACATCGTTATCGATATCTCAAGTATCTAACCTAACTCCCTACCATGTAGGTTAATTCTTTTCAACTCCAACAACAATAAACACATGATTGTTATTTTCTATATTATTCTATTCGGCCTTGGGAAGTATTATTCATTAATAGCCTCCATACGGATTTGCATACGGATTCGTTGCTAATTTGTCTATAGCAACACAAGACCTAGTATAACTGGTAGCCCTAGATATATCGATATCACGCTGCCCATCCCTCCAGCACCATTCGGAGTCGTAGACGGCGCAGGTGCACTGTCCGTAGTCGTAGTATTAGTCTCCGCGTTACCACTAACAGTAGCTATCCTATCATCGAGCTGGAAGTCAATCGGGCTCGTCTTGCCGATATGGTCAACTAGCACCTCATCTAAAGTATTAAGAGCAACCACATCTTGGACTGGTTCTAATATATTGTCACCACCACCGGTTATGAAATCAACTGTAACAAGCGTATACTGAGCCTCTTTATCGACGGGCTTATCACCGATCGTAAGACGAACAAGGCGTTCGCCAATAGCATTATCCGGATTATACTCGACTTTAATGCCACGGCTGACTTGGAAGAAGCTAGTGATGTTCCGCTGGTTGAACTGATTGACGCCACTGACGAGACCCTCGAATATCTTCCATAGGTCCGCACCGCTATAATCAACCTCAACCACGGCATTGCCGAAAGGGAAGGACGTGAGTACCTCGCCTCGCGTGATAGGCCCGGAATCGATGGTAGCGCGGATGCCCCCTGCATTCGTGAGAGCAAAGGCTGCTTTGCTTCCACCATCTACGCGATACTGCAGCATTGAGCTGTAGAGATATCTATGTTAGCACCCTCCCGGAGAGATGAATACACACGGCTGGCTACAACTTACTCGGATACCAAGTCGCCCAAGGTGCACTCCTGCTTTTGACAGGTCGATTGGTCTAGCACAACATTCGTTGTACCAATCTCCTCCGCTGCAAACTTTTCGAATGGTTTCCTCCATTCTTCAACCTGTGTCTGCAAGTCCTCGTCTTTCTTAGTGGTGTTCGTCAAATGTACCGGGGCGCCGTGGTAAGCAAGTATTTTCCCCTCCGAATCGAACGTGACGTCGATGTAACCTAAGTACTCCCCCCAACGATAAGCGGTAACGATGAAGACTTCATCGCCGTCCTTGTTTGTCTCGAGGGTAGGATACTTGCCCTCGGCGCCCTCCATATCGCCAAGTAGCGTGTGGCTATGGCCACCCATGATAAGTTGAAGGCCGGTAGTCTCACGAGCTAGACGCTTGTCTTCTTCATACCCGATGTGCGTAATAGCTGCAATTCGAGTGATGTTCGTCGTGCTGCGGATTTCGTCGATCGAGGCCTGGACTGCAGTGATCGCATCTGTGAACTTGGTGCCGTCGCCAGGATTGCTGATCCCGGCTGTCGTCTCAGTGGTCACACCAATAACAGCCAGTTGGTACTGTTCGAAGATATGATACGGTTTGATGGTAGAGTTTAGCTTCTCATTGTCCGATATAATGTTTGCAGATATAATAGGGAATGTCAGGTTTTTTAAGAAGTCGCCTAACTTGTCGTCGCCGCCATCGAATTCATGATTTCCCAGGGTCATGGCGTCGAACCCGAGTTGGTTGAGAGTCTCGGCGATTTTTTCACCACCGTAGAACGAATAAAACAGAGTGCCCTGAAATTCATCCCCTACGTTCAGCAACAAGCTGTCGTTATGGTCCGGTCGTGTGTCGTCAATGACCGTCTTGATACGAGCATAGCCGCCATAACAACCCTTTGAAGGATTGGTGCAATCAGTCCCCGATGAAGAGAACTCGTCTAGGTGCGCGTGCACATCGTTGACGTGGTAGAACGATATGTTAAAGTTGCCGTCTGCATCAATGAATCGCTTCGACAATCGGTTGCTATAGAGCGAGTCTTCAGCTAAAGCCAGGCCGGCTATACCGGCGACTATGGAGAGAACGGAGAAAGGAACGCGAACCATTGTCGCACGACCGAATTAATCCACTCGTTGAGTCTGTATAGTACACGAGAACGACGAGCAACGCAGCGGAATGCTCCCGGCTCTTACTCACAGTTTGGCTGATGAGTGACGACCTTCACATGCACCGGAAAGCAAGAATAGGCGTCGAGTTTAAATAAAGCACGTAGGTATGCACATAGTCCCTTCGGACCTTTCTTCTCGATTCGGACCTGTGGTACCTATCACGACGGGAAGCATTCGCGCGATGTCGTGTGGCACAGATACAAACATTAACTCCAAAGGAGCTTCCAATCCGATCCAGACCATGCTAGTACCTGGGCCGCTTAACCCGATAAGTCAGGTAGATGAGATACGCAGTCTTGGCAGTGAGCTGCAAGAGTTGTCCAGATGCATGAAGATAGTATTCCACGTGGGTTAGATAATAGGTATCTCATAAATATGTGCAAGGTACTAGGTTAGCATCTTGTTAGTAGAGTAGAAATATCGGAAGACCTTGGCATTGTTATCTATTACAAGTGATGAATAGCACCAATAGCAGTTAAGCGAAGGTATTCGAGTTCTTGTCCGAATCATATTGAAACCCAATAATAAACATCAGCGTTCTAAACTGGGGAGATGACAACTACAATTATTGCGTACCTTGTTGCCTTGTTAAGGGACTAACCTAGATTATTAGACAGAACCCCCAGAAATCCTAAGCAACTCATGCTGGATTACAACCTCTTAAAGCTGATGCAACAGTATGTATTAAGTACGTAGAAGAATAAAGCAACGTCGCGAGGCAGATTCCAACTGGTAATTTTTAAATCAAGAGGATGGAGTTACAAAATTGAACAACTAGGTTATATGTTAAATAGGCGAATATCCTCTAAGCATTATCTCGTCAACCCTATACAGTTAAACAAGCTAACTTAGGTAAGTATTTACATAGTTAAATTAATAACACGTCTCAACTTAATAAAGACTGCTTGCTTTACTGTTACATATAGAAGGGCATGACGCGCTACGTCACAGACCAGATGATCGGATGAAGAGTGATGTGTGATCGACAAGCGGGGAGGACATCTAGGGTCAAAACAGTTTGGGATAAGTAGAGGAAAAGCGCATTGACAGCGAAGCCTTGATACGAACAATTATAGCTCTCCCACATGTGTATCGAGGAGCTATGTAGTCTGAGAGGGCTTTCAAAGCTTGCTAACCTAGGTAGCTTTTCTTATTGTTGCCCTACCTAAGATATGAAGACAATTTCACGTACTAAACACGTTCTTATATGTTTATAATAGATTTCCATTTTTACACGACAAATCCTCTTTAAGAGTGTTATTGTTTCGACTGACTATTAGTTCGTTGCTACTGGACTAATACTCGAGTAAGCGAAAACTACCTAAGGAATTTGTGGTGTTTATTACTATGAAATTCGGGAGCTCCGATCATTTATGTACCTCATGATTTATGTTCCTCTAGACAGTCGCTATAAGCGTTTATCTGAGCGGTAAATGTTGGCGTCGAAACGCTCATTACCCAGCTAGCGGCTACGATTTAAAGTGTCAAAAATAGAAAAGAAAAGTGACATGGGTTAATTGAGTAAAGAGGTATGTATTCCGTATTTCATTACTTAAGATACATAGGTACCTAGGTAGTACCTAAATGTACTACTCTAGATAGGTTAGGAGGTACTTATGTAATGCAGTTAAACATCCAACCCCTCATGCAGACCCCTTGTAGACCCAATGCAGTCTAATGGTTCTAGGCGTTCCATTGAACAATAGGCAATGTTCTACCGGCCAAGTTACAAAAGCCTTGGGACGATTTCATTTCTGCAGTAAAAACGACTGGATAGTAGGCGCGCTTGTTGAAACGGGCACGAAGGGGCGCAGTTCGATCGTAATACGAATGAGCGGTTTGAAATGGGTAAGACATGGTCGAATTTACTGGGTACGGGGAACTGTCACTTTTGTGAGTCGGCAATGGTATTCAGATCACGTTGAACAAGACGAAGTGGTTTGTTGATTTTGCATTTATTGGTTTTTATTTTTTTTTTTATTTTTTTTCCCCGTTCTTCATACCCCCCTGAGATTGGAGATTGGAGAAATCCAGGGTTTAGTGGCTGTCCGACCCCGCGGTCGGCGCTGTTACATTGAATGTACATGCATGTATGTAGGTACCTAGGTACATATATGTACAATTCTTGGAAATGGAAGGTGATTAACCCAATTTATCAATCTCGGTAGCCGATGAAGGCTCCTGCCCGAAGCTCGCAATAATTGTTTATTGTCATCCATCGTCTCTTCTCATCCAACGATATCTGACTGGAATCGATGTATTTTTAGTGTTTTGGATTAGACCCGTTCTTATTCGATACGAAGTGAGTTTTCTCATCGGGCAGCTCAAGGTACATGACATGCTTTTAGATATAAGTATAAGCAAGTGCCGTTTCAATTGACCAATTAACCAATCGATAATTGATAAGATTAGGTAGGTTAGATATGTACCTAGGTACCTACCTACCTAGAAGGTATGCTAACAGGTACCATTGTAGGTAGTGGCATGTCATTTATCCATTACATACAGATGTGACTTCCCCCTTCACCCCCCCTTTAACCGCCTCAATCTCTATCCGCTCTGCCACTGTAACCTCCTTTTTAGTTGCCACGCTACTACGCTAGGTACTATGTACGTTGATCTCGCATTGATAAAACATCCCAGTCGTTCAAGCAGAGCCAAGGTTTAAAACTTGTTTAACTCTGTCTTTGCCTTTCATTCTGAGTATATTTTTCCCTTCTTTCTTCTCCCCTCGCCTTAAATCGCCTTAAATAATACGCCAGAATAATAGAGTTGCCAGGTAGTCTCTTAATCAAAGCAATATCCTCTTTTCCTTACACAAAAAGGAATTGGCGTGCGATACTTGGCTCTCATTAACACATTAACATACGAGAGTAACCGGGAGCTCTCCTCCGCCTTACCCCCTATCCCCTTGATCTACATACACTACATCGTACGCGTCTAGCCTTAAGATCGATTCTCCACCGCGATCCACCACGTCTACACAGCTCGTTCCCCATTCCAAAAGCCCCAGGCCTAGAGCTTCTCCTTGAATCTGCTCTTTTTCTACGACCAGAGTCAACGCTAAAATAGATATCCAATAATTATTCCATACCAAAGCAACTCTTTTGGATTCCCTTTCTTTCTGGTAGCAGGACTCCCGTAGTATATTTTATATTTTCCATTTCTTTTAGACGACCAATCAACCCGGAGACTTCACTTAGGAACGCCGCCAGTATGAATTTCACTAAGAAGATGGATCGCGCCTTTCAATGGGCTGGCGAGAAGATGGGCCATGAGGCCAAAACTGGTCATACGGACGAATTCAAGAATCTGGAGACAGAGATGGCTCTTCGACATGACGGTATAGAACCTGTACATTGTTTGTCGACTTAATTAGTAAACTAATTTTCATTTTATACTATAGGCTACGAACGTCTTCAGAAATCCATGAACACCTATATGAAGTCGCTTTCTCGCAAGGGCGAGACATTCGAAGACAAGGAGAAGGGTCTCCCTGTCAGCTACCTTGGACGGACAATGATGAGCCACGGCGAGGATTTCGAGCCGGACTCAGAATTTGGCAATTGCCTAGTTGGTATGTTGTAATATCGGGTCGAAAACTATGATGAACAACGGCTGACATTGGAACGATGGTGTAGCCATGGGCAGGGCCAACGAACGCATTGCTGGCATTCAGGAGACATACGTTGCACATGCTACCTCTTACTGGTTAGAAGGGCTAGAGCGGTCGCTAGCTATGATGAAAGAATACCAGGTTCGTTATCCAATACTCGTACGTAAGGGTGTTGTTGGACAAGCTAACGCCAGCTTCTATTAGTCTGCCCGTAAGAAGCTCGAGAATAGACGTCTCACATACGATGCATGCATGGTAAAAATGCAAAAGGCGAAACGGGAAGACTTTAGACTTGAAGACGAGCTTCGAACCGCGAAAGCCAAGTACGAGGAGTCGTCCGAAGATGTACTTCGCCGAATGCAAGATATCAAGGAGGCCGAAGCTGAATCCGTCCGCGACCTCACATGTTTTCTTGATTGCGAGTTGGACTACTACGAACGCTGTGCTGAAGAGCTCCGGCGTGTGAAGCAGGAATGGGTTGGAAGTCAAGGTCAGGCATCCGGCGGTTCTCGACCTGAGCTTAGTGTCTCGCGACGTTCGACGAGAAGTAGGAGCAACACAGCCCAGTCATCGGAACGAAACGATCGCACTGAACGGTGGGCAAGCCGACAAGACAATTACGAGCGAGACGAACCAGCCCCTGAACCTGTGCAGATGCCCATTCGCTCCAGTCCGTACCGCGGAAGTGGATCAGTAACTCCTGAGGCTCAAAGGCCGGGAATTAGTCGCGCAACCACACACGCGGGTGCGTTTGATGGGCCACCACCGAGACGACAGTCGTACCGCGAACCTCCAGCCCCGCCTTCTGATTCACTACGCAAGACGCCCATGGCACCCCCTCCGGCTATAGGATCTCTTCGCAATAATCTGCGCCCAGTAAATAGAGTCCAGACCAACCAGAATTTAAGTCCCGATGTCTACGTGGATGATTACGACACGACCAATAGTAGCGGGAGTCCAGATTATGATCGCAGCGAAAGCCCGGCTACGAGCTATGGGAGTTTAAGTCGCAGTACAAGTAACACCGGGTTGCGTACTATGGGGACGACGGGAGCGGTGAAAAAGGCTCCTCCGCCACCACCTCCAAGCAGAGCTAAGAAACCGGCGCCGCCTATTCCCTCCAGACCAGCAGGGTACTAAGGTAGCGGTAAACCGTCTTATGATCTTCCGTACGTCTACAGCTCGTTTTTCTATCCTGGAGTGCGGAACTTGGGCACTTGAAATAGACATCTTAGCGATCAAATAAGTGCAATTGCTTAATTTGGGATGTGCTTTATATAGGTAATAGGTCCTATGCTGAACAGAAAAGGATCTTGATTGCGTGGCGTTTGGTGTATTTGTATGTCATAGACTTCGCAGCGAAGATGACTTCGTGAGTCAAAGATACATGGACTGGCTCCTTTGTTTTGATACTTCATCTTCTAAGACTATACGTGATCTTGCCTTGTGATATTCGTACCCATCATGTTGTCCGATGATTTCGTGAGACCCAACTAGATATTGGCGTGTGTGTATTGTTGATATACGTACTTCGTGCATGTTTATCATATATTATGATGCTACTATGCGTGGACACTTCGCGAATCATATCCCAGTGCCCAACCGACAATATTCTAATCCATCTTCAGCGAAATTGTTATTAGGGATTCCGACTTACTAATAAGCGGCTATAGATAAACAGTCCATTTCCCGTTCTCATGTTAGCAGCGCAATGTGCTTTAGCTCGCTACGATAGTAAGTTAGTATGATAGAAGTGTAGAGATTTAAGAAACTGGGTGACTTGCTTCTGAACCTGCTGTCCTACTTTCATAGGCGCGTACTCAACATCGTCGCCCTCGTCGCGACCAAGGTCAAAGTTAGCGGCGCGCACATCCCTAGCTCGCGCGGCCAGCGTAGGAATAGGCGCCAGGTCATAATCGCTGTTTAGGTGCCAAAAGAAGGTGCTGCTAATGCGTACGAGGGGCCGGTCGGGGTGTTCCCGCCGCCGCGCGGCGATCGTGTTTAGCGTAGACGAGTTGACCACTACTTCGTGATATCCGGCTTTCACCAGCCCACCCGTTAGGTGCTCTAGCTGCTTCCCAGCCTGTACAAGCAAGTAGCTCCCTGGCGAGGAGGCAGAGGGACGCGGGATGCTGACAGCGATACGACGACCCGTATTCCGTGCCCAGATGTGAAGTCCCGGATATCGAGAACGCCCGTGAATCGTTAAGAAATTTAGGTCCGTATGAAAGCCGGCCAAGATGGTGTCCTTCTGTCCAAATTTCTCAAGGTCGGATGCCGTAGGGGCTAGAAGGTGTGGGCTATATTGCCATACGAACCAAGGGTTAGAATTTTGAATAATAGGATTAGTATAGTAGGAGGATATGGAAGACAGGTGGGCGTAACTTACCCGTATCGTCCAGCGTCGGTAAAGGTTTCGGCGGGGAGTCCCATACCAATGGCGGCCATCTCGGCAAGCCCCGAAACGCTAACTCACGAGCAATCGCTATTAGTCAACATGATATCTACCACACTGCTGGAATAAATGTTTCCGAAGCAGAGGAAGCGGATAATCAACACAAGCCATACTTACGCGCTCTTCATACTCTTTCCCCACGTCTCCATAACGGGCGTCCATCTCTCTTTGATTTCAGGGGCATCCGGAATCACATTCTCGGCATTCAGGCCCGGGAACTGCGTGATGTAAGGCGCGGGCTCGCCCATGCGCCACTACGATAACGAGAATTAACGTATATTCATATTCTGGTGAGCGAGATGCCGCTATGACTTGGCCAAGTTTTGAAAGTATAACTGGGTAGAATAAGGAAAGCCTTATATATATAACTCCTAGAATGAACTACTAAAACACGTACGAAAAAACGACATTTGGGATCCGGCTGATGACCACTGATGTCAAGTGGTCGCTCCTCCGGAGCTAGGCGCTCGATGACACGTAGGCATGGTTCGTCGACGGCACACTTGGGCTTTTCGGTATTTTCAAGTGTAACGCCGACTTGGTAACCCAGCTCCGGCCGCTCGTCACGCCGTAGAAGCGCAGCTGGCTGTGCGAAGTAGTCTTCCAGTAGGTCTAGGAACGCCTCGTTGTCCGATTCTGACACTCGCGAGTCGTGTAATACCAACGCCCCGTACGTTGCGAGCGCCCGGGCCGCGCGTAAGCATTCTTCCTGCACCTCAGGACTGGTGGCCGAGTTGTTTCGGTAGATGTCTAGATCGATAACCGGGAGATCCATCGAAGGCTCTTCCGCTGCTACAAATTGGGCCATGGTAGGATTCTTTAAGGTCAGAAATTATCTGTTCTTTCTTTTTGTTTACTCCTTGGTTTATAGAAACCGAAAGCGATGTAACCTAGTTCGATGTAAATATCTTCTGGCCAACCGTCAATATCTTTTAGTACTTTGCGCATGGATCGATCATGCGGATAAGAACATTATGTGATGATGTACCTATAGGTAGGTACCTACATGTAGGTTTGATGTCCATATGGCCCGATGTAGGTTAGGTACCTAGGTACCTTAAGCAGTTGAATCGGAAACCGCCGGGTACCTATGGATATGAGGTAGGTACATGTACATATGTAGGTATGTATGTACATAGGTACATAGTTGGTCCCCACCCGTGCCCATTCGATTAAACGTTCTAGAACCTCTGACTAATACATAAATCCAGGTGTATGTAATCCGTATTTGTCGCGTCTCCATCCATAATGGATCTTTTATCCATTTCAACTTACATAGTACCTATGTAATGTTGTATAGCTTTATCCATCACGTCACGTCACGTCACGTCACTGCTATCCATTGCAAAATGCCATTCTCGAGAACGAGGACTGGTTGCTATACCTGTAGAGAGGATGGCTATAAGTGTGATGAGCAGAAGCCGTTTTGCGGGAGATGTATTCGACTCCAGAAGACGTGCAAAGGATATGAAGTCAGACTTAAATGGCAGCCCCTTCAGAGGTTACCAAAATTGAAGCGAGCCAGAAACACACGGCAGCAGAAGGAATATTCAACCGATAAGACTGTCCCGACATCATCTAGTGAGTCTACGGGTCCAATAGTAAGATATGATCCATCACGCATTATACCGAATGATGTTCATCCGGTAAATCGTTATCTCCTTAATCATTGGTCAACAACGCTGGTCACGATAGTATCCATGGTATCGACCTCTCAAAACCCATTTCTTGTTCACTTAACTCCAATGATATCAAATTCAATAGCTCTACGTTCTGTCTTATGCTCAATCGCAGCTTGCCATTTGGCGATACTAAGGAACGAGAATTCATTTCATACCTTGGCGACTCAGTATCGGCTCGTTGCTGTCTCCGCCCTGCGGCAAACGATTCAGACTGAAAACCCAGAGCTGTCGCTCGCCACCATTCTAATGCTCCAAGTCTCTGATAGACTCTTCACCGTGGATTCAGGGGTTGATCATCTATCCGGGGCGAAAGCTATCATTAACCAGGCTGGGATCAGTAAATGGAACAGCTCAAGGGCTTCGTTCCTCCTCAGTCTTTGTTCCTATCACGACATATTAGCCTCCGTTTCTCGGGGGAAAAGTCCCGTTTTTGAATTTGATGGAGAGTTTCCGATCGAGGGTATGGAGTCTATGAAGGGGCTCACTTCCGTATTACGGATAGTTGGGCAGATTAGTAGGATGCGGGACCAGGACGCGAAACACCTTGATGCGTGGGGTTGCGTCATTGAAGGGATTCTCAATTCACTGCACCAGTCTGATGGCACGATGGGAGACGTGGAACATACCGTACAGGCATACAGATATGCTGCGTACATCTATCTATACCGGGTCTGGCATAACAAGGGCGCACCAGATCCATCCGCGTTGAAGTATACTCGAAGCTGCCTGGCTCACCTTAACCTTGTTGCGGTTGGCTCACCTCTCGTATCGGCCCAGGTTTGGCCACTCTGGACTGCCGGCTGCGAATCCATCGACGTTGATCAGCGTCAATTTGTACGAGACAGGATTGATGCTATGTATGAAGCTCGCCACCTCCCCTCGCTCCGAAGGATTAAACAGGACATTGAGGATGTCTGGAATATTAAAGACGAGCAACGAAACTTGATCGGAGTCGATAACGTAGACTGCATCAAAGCTATATTACGAAGTCGACAGAGAGAGGCCGACCTTACTTAATAATTAACAACGTACTTTGATATTGAGGGTCCCAAAACATACGTTGTCGTTATACTCTACGCCATTGATAGCTCCTTGTATAACCTTACCTTAGGACTACAAAGAAACTACGTCCTCAAGTTAATGTAATAGCTATGAGAATATGCCGGGACCGCGATATATTGGGCTTAATCGCACTGGGCTTGAATAGAAGCCGTGAATGCTTCCCGCTATTTTGCGACGCTGGAGGAATTGAATGCGAAGGAACGTTCGTGGTTTTCCTAAGATCATTCAATCCGAAGGAATTGGTATTCGGATCTGGTCCCGACACTAAAATGCCGATAAGTATTGTATACCTAAATACACCTACCGCCTCAAAAGAGAAGCGCCCAAAGTCATGCCGCCTTTGGAGAATTCTCGGAGACTTTTCGCGTTAGGAAACATATCTTGTACCTCTATCGTGTCCCGGTATGAAGCGAGATACGACGGTATAACCGAAATACCTACCCGCTGCGCGATGGAACCGCACGGACCATATTTTATGGTGATGTGACATTTGTTTCTGTTTGGTTGATCCGTCGGTGCATCCCGAAATCATGACAAAGATAGATTTTGTTAAAGTCATAAACTTCTATACTATCCAACGCTGGCTGCGCTGTGTATGGAGCTTTGTATTCGCTTAATATCGACATGATGAATAGAGTAGTCGAAGAACGAAGAAAGTCTCGAAAATATGATATCCTCCTACTCGGAGCTACCGGGTACACCGGGTTATTGACCGCTGAGTATATTGTTCGGCATCTTCCCGTTGATCTGAAATGGGCCATTGCTGGTCGGTCAAAGTCCAAGCTGGAAGGTCTCTCTAGCAAGCTCAAAGACCTAGACCCAGAGCGCGTACAACCAGGTAAGCAATCACTTACGACTCCGCTTCGCTACACCCATCATACCGAATCAACTAAGAAGAATCATATAGAAATTGAGGTAGTTGAATTTGATGATCTCACTCAACTCGGTTCCGTTGTTAAGAACAGCAAAGTCTGTATTAGTGTAGTCTTATACTGGCAAGTTGGAGAAGTCGTTGTAAAATCTTGCATCGAGAACGGCACAGATTACATCGACGTGTAAGTTTACTGTTCTACTTTAAGTACCTGGCTTATTTAACTTCGTCAATTTCTAACGTTATACAGGGCTGGAGACATACCACTACTGCGTACGTTCATCGACAGATACCACGATGCGGCTGTAAATGCTAGCATTGCCGTAAGCACCTACTCTTTAATCCGGCTCATCCGAAGCGAGGACTTGGCTCACTAGTATCGGTGGTAGTTAATTCACCTCTGTGGAGTATTTTCTGGGCCACAGGATCTTCTCACCTGGGCTGCAGCGCGGGAGTTGGCGCAGAAGACGTCTCTGAAAACGAAGGAATTGGTTTTTTCCATAACAGAATTCGAGTGAGTGTTAAACCCCATTCTTTCCGTGTAGTCCCTTATAGTTATTGACTCTCTCTCCTCTTTCTCTGAATAGGGCTGGTATGAGTGGTGGCACGGCCAGTTCATTGTTAGCTGAGAGCACTCATGACCCCCGTGTTGTTGAGGAAGCAAAACAACCATGGGTGCTGTCACCCATTAAGAGACCAAAGACTCCTACACCCGCCGATTTTCTCGGCATGCGTAAGGATCCAACCCTCGGTTTGTTGTCCGCGTCATCATTTGGTGCTATAGAGAACCGGGCATTGGTGCACAGGACATGGGCTCTATTACAAGATACAGACCAAGGTTACGGGCCAAACTTTCGGTACAATGAGTACATCAAAGTTTCTTCCGCAGCAGATGGATTGTTGCACATACTGACACTTGTCCTTATGAGGGCTGCTCTAAAATTTGGACCCTCGAGGCGTATCTTAAGATTGATCCTCCCGAAACCTGGAGAAGGACCCGATATCGAAAAAGAGCGCTCGTCAAGAGTGAAATTCGAGGCTATAGCTATCGCGGATATGAGTAGCGGTAGTGCGCCTCGTGCATATGCAAGCTTCTCATATCCCTCAGGCGGGTACCACACGACTGGCCTCCTCCTAGCTCAGGCAGCTGCATCGTTGCTCTACACCAGAAATCTAGCAGGCCGGTTTTCCGGGGGTTGTCTCACACCAGCCTTCCTCGGTGAGGATTTCTGGAGGAGAATTCAAGAAGCGGGCGCAGTCCTTCAAGTCAACATGGTTTAAGAACATTTAAGTTTGGAATTCTACATACAAAGGTAACTACGGGGTAGATTGTTATTTAGTATGTTCTCGGCCGGTCGATAGCACGGTTTGGACAGTGGCTGCCATCATCTTGAGGTCGATATTCAGTAGTTACCTATGTGGTCAATCATCAAGGCAAGGGCTTTAATTATGAGCACAGCCTCAGGCGGCCATGATTTGGGATGAGATGGCTTAGAATATTGTTATAGATAAGTCAAGTCTGGCTTATTTTAACTAAACTAAGTTAGTTTAAATTCGACCTCCGTCTCTCGGAGACGCAGTGCTTATGGGACAAATGATAAATACTAACTAACCCGTAAAGTCTTGTGGCTTTGCTTGCCCCATCTTCTCAGAGCTACACCCATGTCATCCCGACGTATATAGAGATATACCTATATAGAGATATACCTATATAGAGATATACCTATATAGAGATATACCTATATAGAGATATACCTATATAGAGATATACCTATATTATCTATATTATCTATATTATCTATATTATCTAATATATTGTCTTAGACTACCTATGATCTCGACTCATCTACGGCACCTGAATCGAAAATGAAACAAATTAACCTATTAATTGGTCGGCCAACCCCGAACTTACAAGCAGCAGACAAGTTGGCAGCAGCGTCTCAAATAATCTTGTCGCAACCCGAGAAATCGGATCTGGCATTGACATACGGTCCCGATTATGGTGAGGACAGTATTCGTGAACATATTGGGGATTGGCTCAGTCAGAAATACCGTCCCGTATCCGGTCACATCACCCAAGATCGTATCATCATTACCAACGGCGCCTCCGGAGCACTTGCGGGAATTCTGCAGAAGTTCACAGACCCGTCATATACGCGTCGCATATTTCTTGTAGAGCCTACTTACTTCCTTGCTGTCCAGACGTTTCTAGACGCAGGCTTTGGTCAGAGAATGCGAGGTGTTCCCGAAGATGATGAAGGTATCAACCTAGAGTATCTACGACACCAACTGGAAGAAGACGGCAAGACTGATGATACTCCGAATACTGACGTGCCTCGCACCAAATTTCCCGCTCAGGGGTATAGGAAACTTTTCAAGTATATCTTATACGTGGTCCCAACACTATCAAATCCTAGCGGGAAAACAATGTCAATGCATCACCGCACAGCACTAGTCGAATTGGCACGCCAGTATGATATTCTCCTGATTGCAGATGATGTCTACGACTTTCTTGCCTGGCCAGCGGATGACAGTATCTCGCACGAAGGCCTAGAATTGCCCCCGAGGCTTGTGGATATTGACCGGCAGATGGCTGGATCGAGCGAATGGGGGAATGCTGTAAGTAACGGATCTTTCTCGAAGCTGGCTGCTCCCGGCCTTCGGATGGGGTGGTGCGAGGCGACGCCGATCTTTATACACGGGCTATCTACAGTGTAAGTCTGCGGATCTCTCAAGCAACTGGGAGTAGTTTTGACAATCTGGATTCTAGCGGGGCGACTTTGTCTGGCGGCTGTCAAGGGCAGTATACCTCCTTCTTAGTCGACGAGATGTTAGTTTCTGGGATTCTAAAACACCACATACATAATACTTTAATTCCGACATATCGAAGAAGATATAGAGCCCTCGTGGAAGCCATTAAAACCTATCTGTACCCACTCGGAATAAAGATATCAACGGGGAAGCCATACGAGACATTTGCTATAGACGGCGGGGGTAATCGTGCGCCAACTATACTGTCGGGAGGATTCTTTCTTTATATAGATTTTCCAGACGGGCATCAATTTCCATCGGCGACCGAAATCATCCGCATTGGTCGCGAGGAGTTCGGCCTAATTATTGCACCGGGGGAGATTTTCGCTGTCAAAGGAGATCCCGAAGGTCTCAAGAGGGCCCAGTCGACTTTCAACCTGGGAACTAGGTTATGCTGGGCATGGAATGAAGAAGCGGTATTGATTGAAGCAATCCAGAGGTTTGCGAAAGTTGTTCAGCGAGCACAAGTATTGCCTTTATAGTTCACCAGGGGGTATCGTGATGCATGCTTAAGAGTCGGCTATAAGCAATGATACCTTAGATGTCTTCTAAAATACCTAACCTAGGTAAATAATATTTGTATCCGAATAATCATGATGATTTCCCGCTCAATATAGGTAGCTACCTCCAACTTATAATCATATCCCTTCCAGATCTTGTCATAAGGAACAGAACGAACAGAACGAACAGAACGAACAGAACGAACAGAACGTACATTGAAATCGTGAAATATGGCCTAGGCGAACCTTGACTTTTCCGCCGCATCTGCATCCGTCTTCTGAGGGAAATGCTGCTGTTCGGGACCCGGCGAAGGTGTAGGTGTAGGGGCGAGATCCCCAGGGGTAGGCTGGTTACCGAGCTTGTTCATGATGCCCTCATCGGCACGCTTACCCTCAGCCGCCTTTAGCACCTCCATTAGTTGCCTTCCGCCCTCGGGCCACATCACGATATCTTCATTCTTGTTCTTCCCACTATGACTACTGTCTCCGACCTCACCCTTTAGAATCTTATCCACGCTGATCTGGCCTGTTCCGTAAAAGGCTGCATTTGCATCAGGCCGCTGTAAAATCACCGTCCCGTCAACCTGCACGCCGCCGTAAATGCCCCGCGACTTCATATAGCTCCACACTGGTTTAGCCCCCTTTCCCACCGCGGCATCGACGCTTGTCCCTACGCCCACGGGCCCCGCCGCTACGGCGACTTCGCCGCCCAAGCTGAAGCGCGGTTTTGTGAAAGCTTCAACGGCAGCAGGCGTGTTGAGTACACACACACAATCGTATATATCAAGCCCAGCAACAATTCCCGCACCTATTGTATGCACGAGGAATCCGGCCGGTGGTGACCAGCTACCGTCCGGCAGTCTGGCGACGACAAGCCCTGCACCGCCTGCCCCTGAGATGTGAAACCCGGTCCGGAAGGTGGTAAAGATCGCCAATCCCTTCGCGTTAGCGATCACAGACTGGGGGATCTTTACTAGTGCTTTGGGCTTGCCGCTTGGGCCTGAGGATGGGGTACCTTGCGTTGATGCGGATGCTGTGGTGTAAAAGCCGTCTTCTGAAGACACATGTTAGGTTCGCTTTGTTTAAATAGGGGTATGAAACTTGAACGGCGTGTGGGGGAACATACTGCAAAAACTCTTGAGAATACGCGCCGCCTTATCGCATTCCTTGTCCATGCTTGTGGGCATGAAGGCTTCAGAACCAAGCTTGTTCGTTAGTTTGTTGATAGGGGTACCGACCTTTATACCCCATTCATATAGCTTACGCCCGAAGCCCGGTTTTGACGTAGAAGAAGCGGGAGCATCCGTGTTTGTTGTAGACGGTTGTTGCTGGTGCTGCTGGTGCTGCTGGTGCTGCTGGACGGGATGAAGACTTGCAGCTACGTGAGGGAGAGAAGCCTCAGTAGGAGGGGGAGGGAAATGTGGCGCCGATTGCTCTCCTTGCGATGAGAGGGGGCGTGGTGGAAGGACTGGTGGCTTTTCATCAGTCACTATAACCCCGGGTCCGGCTCCGGCTCCGGCTCCGACTTCGAATTCCGAATAGCTTGGCGGAGGGTAGCTCGGGTTCTCCTGTGATGGTGTATAGACCTGGTTATAGACCTGGTTCGGAGGGGGGCCCGGTGGCGGAGGCGGGTAGTGCGGTTGGTCTAAATTTGAAGGTGGAGGACCTGGAGGCGGCGGATAATGATCGTGATGTTGAGTAACTGGAGGAGGGCCAGGCGGCGGTGGTGGGTAGTAAGTCGGGTCGGTGCTGTGTTGTCCTTCCTGAGTCGTGCCAGACTGGGATGGAGCTGACTGAGGATCACTCCCGCTTAGTTCGGCATAGTAATTAGGATTATCACCTGGGATAGGCGAATGGCTTGGATGTGCGCTCATTGCAGAGTCAAAACGAGGCACGACTGGTTACTGTAGTGTAGAATCGGGTAAGGAATATATAGGTAGGTACCTAGGTTAGGTAATTATACTGTTAGAACTGTTAGAATAAAGCCAAGTTGGGAGTTGCTTTAACTAGGGAATTGTCTAACCTAAATATGTTATAAATATCTTGTTCGGTGCTAGAGGGGGACAAGACGGGGACAAGACCTGAACGATACCTGATGTCATCACCACATCCGAAGCTAGGCGCAGATGACAATGTACCTCCTGAGGTAGCATGGTAACATGGTAACATGGTAACATGGGGCTAGAACCAATAGTATTTACCTGCGCGTTTACCTGTATCTAGTTAGATCATCATTTACTAGAGGTACGTTTACCAGTAGTCTCAAAATAGGTAGATGATATAAGAATACAAACACAAGTAGAGCCAAGTTAAAGAGCACCAATTGTAGGGCACTCGAAATAAAGCACTCGAAATAAAGCACGGCACCATTCGTAATAATCGTAGGGTCTCCTATTATCATATATTAACCGCTACAGCGCTGGCAACGCACAATTGCCGCAGCCTGCCCCCCCTCCCCCTTTTTCGTAACTCTACAATACACGTAATAGACTACAAGTATAGGCCTTCGGGTTCTCCCTCTTGTTTAGTACGGAGGACTCTCTCTCTTGCGGCCCTAAAATCCGCCATCTGCACGCGCATACGACGTTCACGTAGAGCCATCAACCCAGCCTCGGAGCATATGGCCTTGATGTCCGCCCCGGATAGATCATCTTTCTGACTGATGAACTCATCCAGGTCGACATCTTCGTTCAGGCTCATCTTGCTAGTATGAAGATTGAAGATCTTGCGCTTCGTGTTCTGGTCTGGATTCTCGAAGAGGATTTTTCGGTCAATTCGGCCGGGTCGGATCAAGGCCGGGTCGAGAGTTTCGATCTTGTTGGTTGCCATGATAACCTTGACGTCACCACGGTCGTCGAAACCATCCAGTTGGTTAAGGAGTTCTAACATAGTTCGCTGAACTTCACGCTCGCCACCCGATGTTGAATCATAACGCTTCGTACCAATGGCATCGATCTCGTCGATAAAAACAATAGAAGGTGCGTTTTCCGCGGCAACCTATTATAATATTAGCATAACACCATCTTGAGGGCCAATATGGTTATTATCATACTTGGAAAAGCTGTCGCACGAGTCGTGGTCCATCACCCAGATACTTCTGGATCAGCTCGCTTCCAACGATGCGTAAGAATGTGGCTGAAGTCTGGTTCGCTACGGCCTTTGCCAACAGCGTCTTGCCGGTTCCAGGAGCACCGTAAAGTATGACACCCTTCGGAGGCTTGATACCCATCTCCTCGTACAGCTCTGGGTGAAGAAGTGGTAGTTCAACCGACTCCCTCACTTCTTGAATCTGCTGCTCTAGTCCACCAATATCGGCATAAGACTCGGTTGGTGCCTTGTCAAGTTTCATGACATTAACGGCCGGGTCCGTATCATCAGTAAGCACACCCACGATGGAGACGCTCTTGTGATGCAATAACACAGAGGCACCAGGCTCTAGTAAGTCCTTGTCGACGAAACTCATGATACTGACGTAATACTCAGGACCGGTGGTACTGGAGACTATAGCGTGGTCATCATCAATCATCTCCTCGAGAGTACCGACACCCATCGGGCTTCCACGCATGTCGTCGACCCGACCACGTTCGTCGGCCATGCGGTCGGGAGCATCGAGATCAGGAGCGGGGCCAGTGTTGTCTTTAGCGGCCTTAGCTTTTCTTAAACGCTCTTGATTCTCGACGAACTCTTCTTCGAGTAGTAGGTGGTCATGGATACGTTGCATTCGGAGCAGACGAAGCTTGCATCGACTGGTCGGGTAGACAGCGGGGAGTTTGGCAGCCGCCGAAGTACCAGCAGCCCTTCTCTTCTTACGTCCGATACGAGTGGTTGGGCGCGGTGGCGGTTCGTACTTTGGCTTCTCCTTCTGTTGAAAATATGCAAGTTAGAAAGAAATACGAATTAGAAGTTACTAATAGTTTGAAGACGGAGCTTCGCTGCCGACAGCAACAACGCTGCTGTTGATATGATGGTGTATGAGATGTCCATCAACGTACCTTTTTATCCTTATCATCCTTTCCATCCTGGCCGGCACCACCCATTCCGGATTGGTTCTGACCCTAAATGCGTGCGCCATGTCAGTAAAAGGAAGAGATATATATAAGTAACAGCAGTAATATTAGACTGACCATCTTGACAAGCTACTGCCCTGTGCGGGTCAAAGTGATATGCAAAGCGCCCTATTCTGGGCACTAATAAATTATAGATGGACAAGAACCACGGCTACAAAGCGAAAGGCTGATGATGGTTGAATTCGGTGGTAGTGGTGATACCAGTGCCGGATAGAGAATGAAGTAGTAAAGTTGACGTTTAAGTTGTTTGAGTGGGTTCCGGCGGCAAGAGGTAGACGAAAGCTTCGCTGACGCTGACGCTAATTTACCTGTACTGTTAGGTACATGTACGGAATACCTAATGTAGGTAGAGGGTCAGTTTAGAAATCAGGCACCTAAGAGGAAACGCGTGCATGCCGATGCCGAGATAAAAAGCTTTGGCCAGCTTAAGTAATTCAAATAGGTACCTAGGTACCTTAGATACACCGTATAGCATGTGCTACATGTAATGTACATATCTGATAAGCGTAGATAAGATCGGAATGTACATGTACCCAAGTACCTAATATGTAATGGACCTAGGCAAAGCAAAAAAGGTGCATGTGGCCAGTGCATGTGCAGTTACTGGGTCGGTGTCGATTTGGAAAGAACTGCGGCATTACAACGGGTTGCAATTTAGCTTTTGATAGATGTTGAAGCTTGAACCTTTTTTTTCTTAATCATCGTCTAAAATAACTCTTCCCTAACTTTCGACTTTTCTCTACCTCTCTACGTAGGTACCTACATTCGTACACTCGAGCTCTTTATCTATCGGAAACTTCTCTACAGTTTCCCATAGGTCAATTGCTGCAGGATGCAAGCTTTCTCGAGACATTTGCGGCCAGGTGCTGCCGTCTTGCGCCAGCTCTCCCGACGAGCCTACAGTTCTACGACCTCCCCTTATTCCCAGACGATCGAGAACCTGCGCATTAACGGAGACACCAAGGTTATCTTCCAGGGCTTTACCGGAAAGCAGGGAACGTAAGCGCTCTCCGTCCTTTTGAAGTTGGCTATTCGTCGAAGACTATATCGTCTCGATCTCATCAATATGCCATATCACACATCGCAATAGAAAGAAAGAAAAAAAGGCTTATGCTGATATTCGGATTCCAACAGTTTCCACGCCCAGCAGGCTATCGAATATGGTAACTACATCCTTTGCGCCCCGTTCCCGCTGCAAATTTCTACGGGGTGAGGAGTACATATCTAATAGAAACCTATGGATAGGGACCAAGGTCGTTGGAGGCACAAACCCCAAGAAAGCCGGCCAGGAACATCTTGGACTTCCTGTCTTCGCTAATGTTGGCGAGGCCGTGAAAGAGACTGGCGCAACCGCCACTGCCATATTTGTGCCGTAAGTATCGGGTTACTAGTTACTAGTATGAGATATGGGGTTCGGGTATGAGTTGCTAATCGCCGTTCGTATCTAGTCCTCCTCTAGCTGCCGCTGGTATCGAGGAGGCTGTCTCTGCCGAAATCCCTCTCGTCGTTTGTATCACCGAGGGCATCCCCCAGCATGGTATGTCAGGCCATATGCCATATATAGCCTCGAAGCTTTTACCTTTTCTAACAGACTTCTAGACATGGTCCGCATCACCGATATCCTCAAGTCGCAGTCCAAGACTCGTCTCGTCGGCCCCAATTGCCCCGGTATCATTGCTCCAGGCCAGTGCAAAATCGGCATCATGCCCGGCTTTATCCACAAGCGTGGTCGTATCGGTATCGTCTCCCGCTCCGGTACCTTGACTTACGAAGCTGTCAACCAGACCACCCAGGCTGGCCTTGGTCAATCTCTTGTTGTTGGTATTGGTGGCGATCCCTTCAGCGGGACGAACTTCATCGACTGCCTCAAAGTCTTCTTGAAGGATGAGGAGACGGATGGTATCATTATGATTGGAGAAATTGGCGGTTCAGCCGAAGAGGATGCCGCAGATTTCCTCAAGGCGAATAATACTGTCAACGGTGGCAAGCCTGTTGTCAGCTTTATTGCCGGTATCAGCGCTCCTCCGGGACGACGAATGGGTCACGCCGGTGCCATTGTATCAGGTGGTAAGGGCGGAGCAGACTCTAAGATCAAAGCTCTAGAGGCAGCTGGTGTAGTAGTAGAACGCTCTCCTGCCGCCTTAGGCCGCGCAATGAGGGAGGCTTTCGTGAAGCGGGATCTTTTATAAGAAGCTTGTCTCATACATAAATGTAGAAAGGGTGGGTCACTAGATACGGTATAGGCCTCGACGAGCCTCATGTGTTGTGGATCGCTATAGTCCAGGGGTATTAAATGCCGTTCCCGAACGGGGGGTAGATATCGAAGCATGTGTGGTGGTTGGTAAGCTGGACTGCATTTATTGCCAGGAGAACATCCTGAGTGTGTTTTACTTAACTATGATAGACGGAGGGGTGGATGGCGAATAATGCATTTTATTTTTGTTGCGTCTGTCCCCCTATCATCCTTATATATATATATCATGAAGCCTCAATACCTCTGAGTGTTTTACGTCTCGTTGTCTCATTGCAAAACAGCAAAAGTAAAGTGAAACTGCCACTACTATTACCGAAAATTAATGGAGTGTATAAATGAGCAACTACGAGACACGGGCATGTTTATGAAAATGATTTCAAAATAATTACAGGAATACAGCTTAGTATTATGGTTGAAAAGATACGAAAGAACACATCACTTATAAATGTTATAATGAATAGTTGATGGCTACATAAATCATACTTTACTTTATATATATAGGTACCTAGGTAATCTATATAATTTGACTCAGCTTGATCTACATAAATTGAGCTTTCTAACTTTTAGGAAGTGCTTTTATTCTAGTCCCACCTTAACTTTTTATATGAGATAACTAAAGACTGTTGGTTTATTAGATTGAACCTGCCGCTTTCCAGTGTTTATCAGTATGGTCTCCCATAGATTGACCAGGTGCTTTCTTCACTTCACAGATGTGATTATTATCGTGAGGCTCACAATATAGCCAAGTTGAAGCAAGTTGTAAGAAATCTACCGAATTTGTACGCAACCTACCCGAGGTAAGTGTATCTATCTAAGAACACAAAGGTCAGTTTGTACAGTATTGAGACCGTGATTGAATAACATTAGGTACAAGCTTTCCCCTGCCTTTTCCCCTGCAATCTATGAAATGCCATTGGCTCTACGCCGAGGTTATTGGTATCAATACGAAGAGAGCCCCAAAGTTCTGGACGCAACCCCGCATGGTATCCCAGCTGTCCATGAAGCATTATAACTGCCGCGTAGAATCTGGGGTCTCCGCATTGATCCTCCAAAAATGGTTGGACGATCGTTATTGTTAGTTGGTGTACTATGTCCAGATTTGGGACATGAATGCCTGGCCGTCTACAAATGTAGAATAGATTAATGGGGTTAATATT